CTAAATCAGTTTGAGTTGTGTATAGCTTGTATTAAACTAAACGGGTTCACGTTTTAATCAATTACATCTGCAATAAATACTTAATTGCATTGTTTTCTGGCATTTAAAGATATTGAAGGTGTGTTTAATTTTGAAAGCATCAATTCGTGACTAAAGATTCTTTCCATCTTGTGTAAATAATTGTTGAAGTGCTGTAGTTTTTGTTTGTAAAATTTTTATGTGACTCTTATTTTGATTTAGAGTTTTTAAAAGGAGTATCCTTAAATTGATATATGCGTTCTTAAGAGTAGTTCATGTATTAAAGAATTCATGAAAGTTTAGCTACCACCAAGCACCGCTTTATGTAATATTTTTATTTTTTTTTTGTAGCGTGTCTATACTAAAAACCGAATTATGTGGCTAAGCTCCAGCAACTTTGCTGTTTTCCAGCCACGTTATTGCTATTCGTACCTCGTCATGGTCAGGCGGAGGAACATCGATTCCGTCATCATCGACTGAGGGATCGGGTTCTTCTTCTCCACAACTTTCCGTGCTGCTGCCATTCAGTAGCGTGGAAAAGTGTTCCCTTCATAATTTAAGGACGTTTTGAACATCGGTAACTAGGTCGCCATTGTTGTTCTTACAGGCTAACCTAATATTCACGCACGCCGACACTTTATAGCTGAAATACAATGCCGGCGAACGGCGAACTCACCACAGCGAAATTCGCGCTGTCAAAATTAGAACACCCGCAAGCATATGAAATTGAACACAGCCAAAGCGAAATGCGAAGTTCGCTTGGCGGCGTTTCATGGCGATAGATTTATTTCTATCGCCCTGCTGGGCGATGACAGCTGTGCGTGCCAAAGGTGGCCGTATTTCTTTTTTGCTTTCAAAGTTTTAAAAGAAAACAGCCTAAACACGATTTTTTTTTTGTTGTTTGGAAAATATAGTTGTGGATTCGTTACATCTGGCTTGAAACAAATTATTTATAATAATCTTTCTTTGTTTTACATTTATATTTGTTATCATTTCCTCATTTCTAAATATGGTTTAGTTTTTTCTAAATATGGTCACCCAAATTATAAAGGCGACCAAATGGAATCAGCTGTTTTCGCTACCGCTCTAATTCTGTTTAAGTAGGCGAAATAGCTGGGCGAACGGTGAACGACAGCATCGCCCAATTCGGCGAAGTTTGCCGTTCGCCGGTATTGTATTTCAGGCATTATTGTCAAAAATTTCTCATGCACATGCAACTTGTATGAGATCAACCGAGATTGAACGGCGTGCGTATGAAGCTAACTTAATTTCCAATTATTGTTCTGGGTGACATTTTGATTTGACGTTTCGCTCAATGAAATCAAATGCAAACGCATGCAAGTCAATTTCGGGTGACGCAAAAAAAACAAATTCGACGGCATGCGTACCAAAACGCAAGCCGCGAATATTAGGTTAGCCTGTTACAGGAGTACGCCCTGGTCTAGAAACCTTCCGTAAGTCGCCTAACTCTCTGGTAAAATTTTCGGGCATTCTTCCTGTCGGCCTGCATTTCAAGCTCTTCGCACTCACGTATTTCGGCGTCTCTCTACTTATTGCGGCAAATACGTCTCGCTCCCCTCTTCAGATCCCTATAGCGGTCCCACATAGCGCGCGTTGCACCCGATCGCAGCGTGGCAGTGTAGGCGGCATTTTTTTTTCGGCAGCTTCCTGACACTCCTTATCGTGTCAGTTGTTCCTTCGGGCTCGCTGAAATTTGACTACTTTTTCGGCGACGGTAGTTAATAGATCTGATCCAGTACTCCATGAACTTACAGGAAGTTGCAGGAAAAATGTTCCCGTACTGCAAAATCCTCCAAAATCCTGTAAATGAAAGCGACTTTTGGAGAGTTGTCTAGAGAATGAAGTTGCAAGATTTTACCCGAACTTTTTCTTTTGGTAAAATCATGAAAAGTGTCAAGCAATCACTGGTTGACGTTTTTACAGGAAAATTGGTTGTTACTCACTTTTTACTCTCACTTCAGAGAGTAATTTTGCTGTTTGACAGTTTTACAGGATTTTTCACGAAAAGTATTGGATCAGAGCTAATGAGCGGGAAATGAGGTTCCACAGCTGGCATATGTCGGTTTGTTAAAGATTGCTCTCTGAGAGCAGGTGTGAGAGTCGAGTAGCGAACGCATAAGCTGTCTGTTTTGATCAGTGATCGGACTACTACCACATTGTAGTAGATCTGCCACTTTTTTGAGCATCTGCCACATCGACCGCTCAAGGTCTGAAATCTACCACATATTCGCGTTTTTTAGTAGTTTTATTTTTGCTTGACGTAATTCTCTTAATTTTAGGAGCAAAAATTGTCCAACACTAAACGCGATATGGTAAAAGGAATGATATATGTAATACAAGATTCCGCATTCACGACGACGATGAAATTTCTCAGATAAAAGTAAACAAAGCCGAATGGGAGGATAAATAAAACTGTAGAATAGTAAATTTTCTCAGTAATCAATTTTTCAACAGTAAACGCGGTTTATTAGGTTAAATTGCAAAATATATGATTTATAAAAAGAATTAATAGCGAAAATGTTAAAGAACGGCGAGTTTTGTGAAAGTATTAGCAAATTTAAGTGCATCTAAGGTTTCTGAGGCGTTGTTTACTTTTACTTGAGAATTATCAAAATCGGCAAATCCCAATTAGCTGTTACTGGAACGTGCCACATTTGTTCGTTACTTCGTGAAGTGATAAAAAGAAAAGCTGGCAGCACTCCGCAAGGTTGCTGAAATCTCTTAAAATATGTTCGAAAAATATCTCAATATGGAAGGAACTGCTTTACACTGTCAAGGAAAAAAATTGCCAAAACTCAACGCAATTTCTAGCAACTTCAATCTTGCACTTTAATATACTAAAATTAAATTTTGTTTGGAGTCTAATTAAAAAGTTTGCCATTGAGGAGAAACTTTGCAGATTTTTTTTTAATTTTTGTCCAAACCCAGAGATCTACCACATTATTTTGAAATCTACCACATTTTTCTCCAGATTCTACCACACAGAATTTTCTTAAGCTCCGATCACTGATTGTGATCAATGTTGCCGCGAATCATTTTTAGTGGTAGCCAAATTCCTATAAAAAAAATGGTACATTACATATACATATATACACGCAAACATTTTCAATAAGTGATGGTATAGAAAAACAATGAACTCTGGAAAAATGCTAATATTTTATCCAACCAAAAACCTTTGTGAATAAAAGGGTAAATATACGACATCAGCTTGCTGGCTCCATTAAGTGATTGTGCCATCAGGCTCGAGGCATATAACTTACCAGCATGCTGGTACAATATTTATTTCTTTACAAATGAGGTCCAGGAAAGATCGAAATGATTAGAGCCGAAATTTCATAATTTTTCTACCATTCACCACTCACGAGACCAACATGCTGATGCTGGCACAATCATAAAATTTTCAAATCACTTTTGAAGTCGCACCAGCAGCTGGTACAATCACACCACAACTTTTAAAGTAAAGTTTAAAAATTCATCTCTTACATAAATGCTAAAAAATAGATCAAATTAAGCATATACAACTTTTTTATGCCAAGTATGAATAAATTCTCCAAAGGGCTAAAAAAAGGTCTAGGGGCTATTTTAAATTTATGTGGCCAAAAAAGTACCTGGTAGCTAAATATAGCCACCAAAGGACTAAAACGGCAACACTGGTTGTGATTGCAGCTTTTCGACGTTAAAGCTAAAGGCAGCTTTTCGGCGATTTTCCATGCGATTCAACATTGCTCTGGAAAAATCGCTCGTGTAAATGGTGATTCAAAAATCGCTTGCCTCAAAGTAGACAGCAAGTGAAATTTTGCAGGCGAGTATCGTCTGTCAAAAAATCGCCTCATGTAAAGGCAACTTAAGCTTTCCTTGCATATACGGGCGCACATTTTTTGCTGCGCAGAGGCGGGTGCGTATCTTGGCTGCAACAAGATAGTGGTCCGAGTCGATGTTTGGGCCTCGGCATGTACGTACGTCCAAAACACTGGAAGCATGCCTTCCGTCTATTACAACATGGTCGATTTGGTTTAAGCTCTCTGTTTTTGGGGTTTTTCCTCTGCATTAATATGGCTATTTTCACTTCTAAAAAGACTGTCAGATATTATTTGCATCTGTTTGTTTGCCCCTAATTTTTCCTTTCATTACTAAATCTTTTGTCTCGAAATTGATGAACCGAACAATCGCCCATCCTAATCGATCTACTGAATACTTATTTGGTGACTTGTTCTTCAGCTCGAAGTTCCTATGTGTAATCCATTGAACTGAATCGATTCGAGATCAAAAACTCATCAGATTTGCATCGTAATTTTTTATGGTATGGTGTTATCCGATTCCACAGTTTTGACCATGCGTTAGAGGCCTAGTATCATTTTTTTTTAGATAACCAGTCAAAAGCATAATTCCTGCCCTCTTTGGCAAACGGATGAACTCTAAAACATGGCTTATCTGAGGACTTGAGACGTACCCCCTTATTCTTCTTCGTCTTATTGGCACAAAACCCGTTAGTCGGTTTGAACCGAGTCAACAGAAAACTTTGCCAATTGCATCTCTCCCTTGCGGATTTGCGCCAGTTGTTTATCTTGAGTGCAGGCACACCCTTCTGCACTTGGTATTTACGTCCATTGCGAGCGCCCTTGCTTCCGTGATCCATCCATTGGTGCAGAGTCGAAGCAACCTCTCACTGGAGCGTCGTCTTCCATGCATACAACATACCCAGTCGGCATAGTTTTGTGAATATTTTTATATCCATGTCATTAAATAGCTCTTCTCGGTACACGTCGTTCACGCGAACAGGGCCATAGTTTTATAGAAAGCCTCCAAGACCTTATAAAACCATAGAATTATCTAGACCCTATTAAACCTCAAAGACTCCAAAAGCTAGAGTGATCTAGGCAACGCAATTCTTTACCATGAAACTCTTCGTATCCTTCACTGCTTACAACATTATGAAACCCATCACTTTCCTTGTCCTTTAGCCAACAGCATGTGACCAACCGATTTGAGTTATTACAACGACATCATAACGCCATGAAGCGCCGACGCAGCATAAAAATTCCGTGGGCTGTTGCCACAGCACCGCCGCAGTTGGAAAATCTCCCTTATAAATACGAATATCACACCAAATGCGATAGTCTAGTCCCCTTGATGCGCTGTATGCTGCTGTTATGGCTGATCATGGCCGCAATTTTGCTGGTAGGCGTTGAAGCGGAAGGCTGTCCACCCTCAGAGGCGATATTACCATGTCGTTGCTCGCTGCGCGGCAAGGAGATACAAATATGGTAAAGCTTAGAGACATTAGCTTTCCCACCACTTTCCTACTAAAATGTTATTGGCCTCTCTTCCCACTAGGTGCTCTCACAGCAATTTACCACAAATAATGGACGGCATCAAAGCGGTTGAACGCAACATTAAAAGTCCTATCGATGAATTGGTGTTGGAAAATAATCAGCTGCCGGCATTACCTGGGCGCTTCTTTGGCACGCTACAGATTGTGCGTCTTATGTTGCGCTATAATAGCATCGAGCGCGTCTCCAATGGTTGGCTGAATGAGTTGGAGAACCACTTGGTGGAAGTTTATATTGTTGAGCCACAATTGCGGAGCATACCGGTGGAGAGTTTGAATGGCATGATCAACATGATCGCAATCACCATACAATCCGACGAATTGAAGCATTTGCCAGACTTCTCGGGTTTACTAAGTCTGACTTATCTGAGCGTGCAAAGCAAATCGTTGGCAGAGTTGCAACCACACTGGTTTCGTCATTTGCCGAAGGTACAAAATATTCACATCAATGGCGGTCCGCATTTAATACGCCTGGAGGCGGGCACTTTCGATAGTTTAATTTCGCTGAAGAATGTCGATCTAAGTCGCAATGCACTCAACTGGATACATCTGCGCGCACTCAGCCGTCTGCCGAATTTAGTAAACCTGAAGATGTCCTACAATGAGATTAGTGATGCGGGCATGGTGGGGCGAATTGTCAAGGACCTTGAAAACTTGAAGAAGCTGCGCTTGGATCACAATATTATCAACATTGTGGAGGATGGCTCTTTTGTAGATTTGCCACACATGTCAGAGTTGCACTTGAATGACAATCGCATCACCGAGATACAATATGGCGCCTTCTTGCGCACGCCCATGTTGAAGACCATCTATCTGCATAACAACCACATACGACGCATACACCCCGAGTCATTTTTGCAGGCCTCTGGTAGCGGCGTGGAGACCATTTACGCATACAACAACGAAATTGAGCATGTCGGCGTGCTGCGTTCATTGCTTGAAGCTCTGCCGTCGCTCAAATTTCTGGACATGAGCAACAATTATCTAACTGATGTGCCATTTGGCGCGTTGCGTGGTCACGGCACACTGGAGCAGTTGCACCTGAACAACAACCTCCTGCGTACAATCGAACGTGATGCGCTGATGGCAATGCCAGCTTTACGCGAGCTACGCATGCGCAATAACAGTTTGTCCAGCGAGCTGCCAATGCCTCTTTGGAATCTGCCTGGGCTCAAGGGTTTGGATTTGGCAGCAAACAACTTCCGTACCGTGGACTCATACCTATTGAGCGGACTACCTTCGCTGCGACGACTAGACTTAAGTGAGAACGGTTTAGTAAAGTTCGACCCTACAACCTTCATACACAATCCCATGTTGGAGACATTGAACATATCATATAATGAGTTGGCTACGATACACCCAGCTACGTTTCGTAATTTGAATAGGCTCTTCGAGGTGGATGCAAGCTATAATTTGCTGACGGACATCATACCTGGTCTACCGAAGATTGTGGAACGTATTTCGATGCGCGGCAACACCATTTCCACACTACCCTTCTCCATTGGCAAATCTCTAAGTCTGCCTAATTTGCGCATGCTCGACCTGAGCGTAAATCGTTTGGAACAACTACCAAAGTACGGCTTCCAAGGCATGCCCCAATTGCGCGTGCTTAGCCTGGCTAATAATAGGCTACGCTCGCTGGATGACACCGCATTTATTGGTGCGGCACGTCTTGAACTCTTGCACCTGCAGGACAATGGGTTGACATACATTGATGACCGCGCCTTGTTGCCGCTCTCCGAGCTGCGTAATCTCAACCTACAGGGCAATAAGTTAGACTCCATTACCGACAACATGTTCTCGAATAACTCGCGTTTGGAACAGCTGGATCTGTCACGAAATCTTATACGAACCATAGCACCGGCGGCATTTGAGGCGCAACGTTCACTGGAGTATCTGGATTTATCGAGTAATGCGCTATCTGACATGTCGGTGAGCCTTTCAAATCTGGTCAATCTGCACGACATCGACCTGAGCTACAATCATATTACGCGCGTGCATGCAGACGTCGTCTCCTCCTGGCGCAGTGTAGTGGAAATACGTCTCTCCAACAACCTCATTGTTGAATTGAAACACGGCACTTTTCGGAATTTGCCCAAGCTGCAGTATTTGGACTTGTCGAGTAACGAAATAAACTCGGTAGAGCCGGGCGCCCTAAAACATTTGCCAGATTTGCAAGAATTTGTATTGGCGGACAATAAACTGGTGGAACTGAAAGATCATGTTTTTGAAGATTTACCCAACTTGCTGGCCTCGCACTTCCAATACAACACATTGCGTTACATTTCGCCTGATAGCTTCTTCAACTCACCGTCGATGGTATTCTTAAATTTGTCAAACAATAATTTTCATAATATGGAAAATATAGGACTGCGCACAATGCGGAATCTCGAGGTATTAGATCTGTCGACGAATGGTGTACGCATGGTTAATACGATGCCATTGAAATTATTAAATTGGTTGGTCGAGTTGAAGATGGACAACAATGAGATATGCAAGATTCAAGTAAGTACAAATTAGCTGAAGAGTTAGATACATACCAGTAAGGAAATTTGCGTCCCAAGAACTACAGAAAACCTTCTTTCACTCTTTCACCTGAAATTTGTATGCCGAAAAAATTCTAAATACTTCTTCTTTCATTAGGGCGGTCCCTTCGAAACGATGCCGCGGCTTCGAGTGCTCTCAATGCGCAACAACCGGCTCCGCACAATCAAGGAACGCACTTTCCGTAACTTACGTGGCAACATAGCCATACTGGATGTGGATGGTAAGTACCGTTTGCGCACCCAATTTTAATAAATTCTTTTTTAATTCTCCAACCCTTCAGGCAATCCCATCAACTGCTCCTGCGAAATGCAATGGCTCTCTGTCTGGCTGCAAGAGACCAATTTCCCCTACCCTGGTCCAAAATGTCAAGATGGACGCCTGTTACGTGCTTCGCGTATCGACCGAAGTCTCTGCTCCCAATTCGAGGACACCAACCAGCGTACTGGTACTGCGAGTGGCAGCAGTTTTAGCAGCGACAACTCTAATCACCTGCCGCTGTTGAACGAACATGGCGACATTTTCCAACGCGATTTTCAGGAGGATTTCAACGATGAATGTGAAGGAAATACCATTTCACCTGGCGAACGTCCACTTGCTGGTGAGAGCGAATACTTCTACGATCAGTATGTCGACTATACACCGTCTAACGAAACGAGCTCGGCTACAGACGCGCCAAGTACGCATACGAACGCCGCAAGTACCTCAGTGCTGAGTACACAAAAGAAGCCACCCATTGCTTCAAATGCTGATTTGAATAATACAATTTTGAATACCAACTATTTCAAGAGACCGCCACCACCACCTGGTGGCACGCAGGCCAGCTCGCCTTTCACATTTTTTGGTTATCCCATACCAGCGCTTAGCTTGGGCCGCTTTTTTGGCACAGGACAGCGTGGACGCAAGGACCGTGGTGAAAAAACTAGTACTACTCCAATTCGACAAACAACTGCCAGTTCCACTGAAAGCGTCTTAGCGACGCTGCCAGCCACACATCGAATGCACACACCGCACAGCAAAGTGCGCATGTACCAACCGAATAGCGCTGAGTTCGAGAAGTATTTGAATCAGCCAGATTCTCAATATCACGATGTGTCCGCGCGAAATCGACAAACTACCACAATAGCAGCCAGCGCTGACTCCAGCTCAGATGAGGCGACCAGTAGCGAAGCGCCGAGTAGCGTCTTCAAAACCGCCTTTCGTGTGCCCACAAGCGTTGAGCGTGGCGGCTTTCGGCCGATAGTGCCAGAGCACGTGGGGGGCTTCATGCCTGTGCATGATCCCTCAAAGCGTCGAGGCGTAGTGGAACCCATACCCACGCCAACAAAATACACAATGAAGCAAACGGAACGCAACTATGTGCCAATGATGCCGGTACATGCGTCGGAGGGTGAACGCAGGCAACCAAGCGGACTGTCAAACTTAAGGGCGACAGTTGCACCTGTGCCGACTACTGCGCTGACAGCAGAAAAGTCTGCCAGCGAGGAGTTCGAGACGCAAACTTATTACGTAACCGAAAACTCAATGGAATTGACCACACCGGCGCGCCGAATAACGCCACCATATGCGGTGACAACTGCGCCAACAGCCACAACCGTTCGACAACAGACACTGAGGACTACAACACCTAGTGGTGGCAGCGATTTGTCTGAACCAACTACCACACCAAGCACTTTTTACACTACAACAACACCCATGAGTTCTATGGCAGCTACTGCATCAACTCACGAAAACACAGTAACGCAAGCGCCTACTTACGGTGGTTTCGGTGGGAGTGATGCATTCAACACCGCTGAATTCTACGATGACCTGGAAGCACAATCCGTGAGCATGTTGAAACCACCACCACTCATCCAAACGACCACAGCGGAGACTATACTGTTGATACCACCGCCGGAGGAGCATGTCGAGCAGATCAAACGTCAATCTTGGGTAGCCAAGGCAGCGACAACAACTACAACAACGGCCGATAGCCTTACAAACGACGATCAGCCAACTACACCCGCTACTAATCGTCTGGTAAATGTATCGCCACGCCAACCGCGCCCGTCTGCTGGCCGTTCAATAATCACCAAAGTGCACACGCCACAAACATTAAATCAATATCTTCCCACTGCCGAGGAATATCATCGCACAACGCCCCACAATGATCAGGCGTATGTGGGTGCCAGCGCAGCAGGCGATGAATTAGCGCTACAACAACAACTGCTAGCGAATGCACAGAAACGTGACTACAATGCGCTCGAGGCATTGGATGCCGAGTCGGTCGATACAGCGGCGACAGAATATCAGCAAGTGGAGCATGCAGATCGCAAAGAAGGCATGGATTGGTATTATGAGAGTTTTAAGAAGCCACATCCGGTGGCAGCCGCCGGCAGCAGTTTGCGTAGCAGCGCCGACTTTGTGCGCAATGCAGGAGCGGCGCGGGTGAGAGCGCGACGTCACGCGAGATATGGTGAAGTGGCAGGCAGTTTAATGGTAGTTTTATGTTTACTTGCAATATTTTTTTAGAGTTAAGCGTATTTTAAATGGCGTTTTAAGTTTATTTTCATGCAAGTACACTCCGTTTCACTTGAATAAGAATATATTTTTTTCAGCTGTTTTTGTATATTTTTACTTGTAGTCATCGGAAGNATGGGTTGCTCACGTTGCCCAGAGTGCGCGAACGAGGACGCAAGAGTCGGGATTGAGTAAAGCCATGCAACTGTAACTGCATACCCAGCGCAATGACTATACCCCATTGCACTCCAACTCGGAAGAACTTAGCGGTCGCTAAATGATCAAGCTTTGATTTTGTGCGGCTTTTTTTATTCAACAATGCAAAAAATTGCTTTCAAAATTGTGTCTCCTCAATAGGGTCAGCAATAATATATAAAGCGAATAATATTGTTAGAGTGCGATCACACAGAAAGCCGAGCGAAGAAAGGCGGAGCGAAGCGGACCCCCAGGCTGCAAAGATATCACAAAACTACCGTTAAAAACAAGCAACAAAAATATTTACTCAATTTTATTCAAAAGATTTGTTGAAGAACTCGTTTTTATGTTAATATTTTGATATCTTGTTTGCAGCGGCGTCATGAAACTGAAAAATTAATTAATAAATTCAAAATCAAAAAATGCTTTGCTTTCAGCTTCTAGAAGAGCTTTGAAAGCTTCACTCCGCTCGGAACGGGTCGTTCAGCTCGGCTCCGCTTTCTTTGTGAACGTACCCTTACCCAGTAGATAGTTTCAGGAGTTAAAAGCCCTGCCGAAAGGCCTTCGTGAGAGTCAAGAGGCCTTCCACTCTACATTCATTTCTCCTTTCTTTTTTTTATGGAGTGGCACAAATTGAAGGGCTTCTTCTTTCGCTACCCATGCTTAAGGTTTATATCAAGTATATGTTATTTCAACTCAAAATGTTAATTGAAATTAATTTGTAATGCCAAATAATATAAATTTATTCTTAGCGTAAATGGTAAGTGGATAAGCCCTTCCGTTGTTTATTTTTTAATGCTTCTTTTCACAATCGACTATTTTTAAAATGAGAAGAAACGAGTATCCCCCTGTGACTAGTAGTAAAGATATATGTGAATATGCACGATTCTTAAAGAAAATAGCGTTCCTGTTCAAGTGAAGTGGGGCGTATAGACGTGCATACATACATACAAACATATGTACAACATGTATATACACATATCGTCGTTTAAAGTACAAAACCGCGTATCGTCATTCTGCAAAACCGCGTAACTGACATTGGCTGCCAAAAATTGGATCTGCTCATACAAGCTCTTGGATCAATCCTTATCCATTCGTCCTGAAATATACTAGCCAGAAATGCGATTGCTTTATAAAAAATAAGAGAGTTTTTACTCTCTACAAAATAATTTATGCAACCTCACATACGCGGTTTTGTACTTTAAACGACGATATACGTATATACATACATATATGTATTGTTAAAAATTATGCTTTCATTTATTAAATTAATTAAGTACATAATATATACTATATTACAGTACTTATCATAACTTTACGGCACTCACATATGCACAAAATTTTACCATATATCGTAATATTTTTTAATTTAATTATTCCTTTATAAAAACAAAGTATATTATTTAACAAAAATCATATAAATCCAAGTTGTAAACTTCGCGCAACATTTAAAAAAAGTCAACAAGTTGTCGTAAAAGTTGCGGGCTGTTTAATTCGACTTTTATAAATATTTTGGGTATGCAGTTTCGTAGCCCATTCAATTTTAGTATAATAAAGTGTAAGTTTAAAGCAGCTCCGGCTTACTGTTGATTTTTGGGCACATTTTTTTTTAAGGTGTTGCTCATTTTCTCCATACAAAATGAATCGTCAAACATACTTTGTATGGAAGAAAATTACTGACATAGTCAACAAAAAAAAATTTCCAAAAATCAACGGTAAGTCCCAGCTAATTGGCATATTCAACAAGGTAGAAGTGACAACTCAGTCGAGCTCTCTCATAGATGACTGTAATGTCAAAAAATGTAAACAAAGAAATTAACCCATTGTTATGCATGTACCAAATTTTATCATAGTGTACGCGGTGCATTCGCCCTGAAGGAAAGATTGGTCCAATTGCTCGAAAAATATAGTCGTAGGCATAGTAGTTTTTTATCTATACCAACCTGAAAACCAGGCCAGCGTGAACAACCACACTATATTTTTATAAAAAAAAATTTAATTAAAAAATATTATGGTAAATGGTCAAATCGTGTCAATATGTCAGTGCCGTAAAGTTATGATAACCATTATACATGCATACGTATGTTTATATGTATTAAATATAGATATATGTTTATTTCGTTATTTTCTGATATATTTATGCCAACTCACACTACTGTTACAAAATATTGTGCATAAAAGCAGAAGAGATTCGTTTACGCTAGAACTATTTAGATTTAGAAATCTCTATAAGTAAAAAATAATAATTGAATAAACTCCTTTCAAAAAATACTTACGCGTTTCACTCGGACCAAAAGAACTAAGACCATTTTTGTTATTAAAATTGATTTTTATTTTCATGAATTGTTAATCAATTTTTATTTCATGAATTAATTCATATTTTATATTAATTTCTTTCAGCTCATGCTTCTCTTATTTTTATTCTTATAACTTCACAACCTTTTATAATAAAAATTTAAATTAAAATAAAACATTTTCAGTCCATTTTCTTACATATTCTTCAGTCTTCCTGCTTTATCCAATTCAATTTGTTTAATTCTATTATTAATACAATTGTAATATTACAATTTTCATCATTCGATCTTCAAGTCTACCCAAAATTTAAACATTTAACATTTACGAACACTACCAATTCTCGCATTTTAGCAATTAAAATACAAGCAAAAAATTAATATGTTCGATTTGAGACTCCGCAGCAACATTTTGGGCCGTAAAAAGCGGGTTAATGCATTAGTGGATTACAGTTGCGCTGACAATTAAAAAGTTCTCATATCCATAGCAAGTTTATTCTGAAATAAAAAACAATTTATAAGGCTTAAAAATAATTTTTAGTTTTCGTAAAATATTTAGGCTAAACAAAAAAAAATATTAAGAAAAATATATCAGATGGTAGTGCATGTTAAGAAAAAATTCAGCATTTTTGCTCAGTTTTGGGTATGAAAACGTCATCATTTAAACTTTTGATGAGAAAAGTACTCTTAGATGTTACAATTAATTAGTATTTAATTTACCTTACTCCAACGGTAGAAAATCGCCCTCTGCCGATATTTATCTGTAAAATAAAAACCGAATTGAAATATGTTTTACCGAAGTAAATATATATATGCAAAAAATTGACATATCAATTTAGGAAAAAATTGTTCAGATGGTAGTGCATGTTTTATAAAATTTCAGCATTTTTTGCTCAGTAGTGGGTATGAAATTGTCATCACGATATTATACTTTTGTACATACACTCGTGGCCACCACACAAACCGTACACCATTTTTTTTAACATTTTGTATATTAATAAAAAAATGCTTAAATATAGCTCAAGCCACAACAAAACCTAAGAGGCGTATTCTTGGTTTCGTTCGAATCGAAAATCATGAAATTTTTCTTTCACTTTGTATACAAAAAGTCCAAATTTTCGATTCGTACGACAACAACGATAAAATTAATAAAAACGTTTAGGAAAATTTCGGGTATGCAATAAAGAACCAGTTTGCAGTAGCTCAAAGTTCTGATTGATTTTTCACAATTTTTTTTCCATACGATGTTGGGCATTTTGTCCATATAAAAACATTCATTACATGAAGAAAACTACACAAGACCGTCGGAAAAAAATAATTTAAAAATCACCGAGAATTTTGAGTCACTTCACTGCATACCCGAAATTTTCCTCAAACTTTTATAAAAAAGTTTGAAATTGATGAAAATTTGATAAATTATTCAAAACAAAGTTTGAAACATTCTTTTGCATAGTTTTTTTTGCAGTTTGAACTATATTTAAAATAAAAGATATTAATTTACAAAATTTCTCGAAATTAAAAGAAAAGTTGTGGTAAGGTTTTCGTGGCCACGAGTGTACATAAATTTCTGCAACACCTATGCATACTCTTTAACTCGCGGACATTAAAAAAAAGTTTAGGTAATTTATGTAGATATCAAATAAATCTGTAAAATTATTACTTTTTCTATTTTTAAAAGTAAAATTTGTAGATATTAGATAAAAGAATAAACGAATGCTGTTTTTGTTGTGTCCGACCGACTGTCTGCTACCTAGTGTCTACTAAATACATACCTACCTACCATGAACGAAAAACACATTTTTGGTATTTTTGGTTCATGCCTACCTACCATATGCGTACACACAAACGCACTAGGCGGAAATAGTGAGGTTAGTAAAACGCTAATATGCCGGCGCTGAAATTTTTCCACGTCTCATTTGCTTTTTTTGCTTAAGTATTTCGCTAATAACTAACTTTAGCTACCATAACAACTTTTATTAATACATAAAAATCAGTATAACCGCATTATGCATTAAAAAATTTCATTTCCTACAGCCAAGCATTTGCTCTGATAAATCGATAATTTTCTTTATTCACTTACCTTCAACTCGAAAGCTCCATATGTATATTTTTTAGTAGCAAAGTTGAATATCTTTTAATTAAGCCTCCTTCGGCTGCTATATATACATATGTATATGTAGTATGTTAAATAAATTATTCTGTTGTATTAAATCCCATCTTACTATGAGATTATTTTAACTTTACTGCGAGCATCGATGCGCACCGGGCAAAGGTCGACTAGTGAAAAGAGCTAGGTAACCGGAAAAGAATATTGAGGCAGGCAAAATGGTGGAAGTACAACAAAAAATGTCACCATATTTATTGCGTGTGGTGAATAAGTGCGTTAATTTGCTTGGCAAAATGCAACCATGCAAGTGGTAAAAAGAATTGTTAAACTAATTTGTATGTCTCTAGGAAAAAATATATAAAAATAAAGTCAGGCAATAGAATTTTAATTATTTCGATATTCAAAATTTTGGGTTTTAAAATTTTTTCGTCTAATAAAATTAAACTTATTTAAAGACTTGTTAAGTGTTAAGGTATTCTAGTATTCACGCAGCAGCAGTTCATTATTTTAACATAAAATAAAATATTTCTCACCTGTCTGGTTATCAGGTTGAGTGGTTATATTTTTAACTCGGTAAATAAAATACACTAGAAAATAAAATTTTTTAACCAGATAACCTGATAACCGGACAGGTGTAATATCAGATAAAGCTAATTACATTTACTATGCAAAAATTTCTAAATTTCGAAAATTTTCATGGAAGTTTTTTGTTAAAAATACATATCGTCGTTTAAAGTACAAAACCGCGTATCGTCATTCTGCAAAACCGCGTAACTGGCATTAGCTGCCAAACATTGGATTTGCTCATACCGTCGCCTGGGTAAAAGATTGTCGAATGTTAATTTCGGTAGGTTGTGGGAAATCGCGATTGAAGTTTGGAATACAATTTCTCAAAAACGCGAAGATTGATTTTCTCCAAAGTCTCTGAAAATGCTACAAGTTCACAAAACTCTTAAATAATATAATTCTTAATGTTTATTGTTGATTATTTTTGAGTTTATGAAGGATTTTCTTTAGTAAAATTTTGTCGTAAGCGCCATTTGTCCACAATTTGCCAGCCACTTTGTATGAAATACGACAAAATGTGATCAAAATTTGTACTAAATTAACGACACTTTTTACTCAATATCTCGGAAACTAAAGGAGATATACAGAAGTGGAGAACACAATTTCTAAGATATTGATTAGTTTAATATGACTGCATCACTAACTAAATTTTTACTAAATTACCGAAAAAATTGTAGTCAACTAGGAAACTAAACGAGATATCTAAAAACTGATAACACCAATCGAAAGACCTTATTTCAAGCTATATAACTGCATCTAAAACTAAAAATCGTCAAAATGGCGATTACGACAATCTTTTACCCAGACGACGATATGCATTATTTCGGTTTTTTTCGTATGCATTATTTCGGTCTTTTATATGCATTACTTCGTATGCACAGTTTCCATATGCACGATTTCAGGGTGCCCATGAAAATGTGTCTTAAAAAATATTTTTTGTTGCATTTCTTCCATTTAAGCCTTCCATAAAAACAAATATGTAGTGACTCAAAGAAAAGAACATTTTATTTACAGTAAGGCTACTTTCAACTTCTATGGTTCACTAATAAAAGAGACAGATGCTTTGCATTAATGTGTTTCAGAAGACAGCCTAATTTACCTATGTACATATGTACATTAGACTGCATCACTCTCCATACAAAAAAAAAAATCGGACTGTTTTTCCATTGGAATTATAAAATTATTGTATTTTAAGACGTCCACCACAATATTTCGGAAAAAATATTAAGATTTAAGCGAGCTGGACCGATTTGAAAATACCTCCAAAAATGAAGTTTTTTATGAATAAAAATGTTTCTTAAAGATTTTTTTTTTGAAAAAATCCCCTCAAATGACAAAACGGTTTAAGCTTAAAAAATGTATATAAAAATATTAAAAATAAATAAAAAATAAGTTTAAACGGAATCGTAATAATGAGATTTTGGATGCTGTTTTTTAACTTTTTTTAAAGGTTGGTATAAGAAATACTTAATTAACTGACCCCAAACTCTTCCGATTTAGAATTGTGAGGTATCATTGGAAAGGTATTTTCTCACCCTTTTTATTTCTTTGCTAATAAGCTCATTCATAGGATTAAGGAGAACAGCATTCAAAGTTGAATTAAGATGTGTTGGTATTTGAAAAAAAAAAATTGGGAAACGATTGACCTTTTTTTTTGCACATAAATAAAAATAGTGGGAAAATACCTTTCTACCGAGATCGCATAAGTTTAAATCGGAATAGTTTTGTCCCAATTATTTGCGTTTTTCGTAAATCAATCTTTGAAAAAAGTAAAAAAAAAACAGCATCAAAAATCGCATTATTACGATTTCGTTGAAAATATTTTTAAATATTTGTATGCAGATTTTTTAAGCCTAATCTGTTTTGTTATCTGAGGGGACTTTTTTCAAAAAGTCCTTTATGAAACTATTTTTATTCATAAAAAACTCCATTATTGGGGGTATTTTCAAATCGGTCCAGCACGCTTAAATCTTAATATTTTTCCGAAATATTTTGGTGAACGTCCTAAAATATAATAAATTTTGTAATCACGGCGCAAATACCGCAACTTTTTTTGGTGATGCGGTCTAATGTACATATTTAAAGTAAGTTAAAACCAATTGAAAACAAAAACTCCACAGTTTACCAGAATGTTTTGTTTTACCTAATTTTTGCTTACCTGCACGAGCTCAGCAAATTTTATTTTTTTAAGTGTCTTCGACAGTTTGTACCAAATGCATGCACACGAAACTAAACTGTTTTTTTTTTTTTTTTTAATTAGACACGAAGCGCTTAAACACCTTACATTTTTTCAAAGTTATTGCAAAATGAAGATTCTTCCATCATTAACAATATTGAGAAAAGAATTTCAATTCCGATTCAGCCACTTACCAAGCGAATAAAAATAACTGATTCGCGGAGTTTCCATGACAGTCGGGTATTATTTATGTATACCTGGCCACGATAGCTGTGTTCTCAAAGAACTCTCGAGGAATTTCTATGCTGTTATAACAACAATCCCTAAATATACAAACAAAAAATTAAAATTTGCAACATTTATTTAACTCTATAAACGTTTCAACTTAAAAGTAAGTGTGATCATTATATATTTTTATATTTTTAATTTTTTATTTTGAAAAGCTTAAATTTTTATTTAAAATATAATCGAACAAATTTCAAATTGTGATTGCGGGCCCCAGTTATGGTATGCAATAAGCTTACAACTAATGCCATACACTTTTTTTTTATTAAAAACTCAATTTGTAGTTTTTACGTGCAAATGCATTTAACTCACGACAGAAAAGAAAATTGAGCACATCTAATTTTAGTTCGTTCTTTTCTTTGTGAAAATGGTAACTTTCTTCACGTGTTTAATATAAGCGGAATATTTCTTAACACAACTAGTATTTAATGTACGTAGCTTAGAAGAACAGAGAAACGCTTATTTTTTTTTTGTTTTAAAATTTTTCAAATAAAACATTTATATATGTATGTGCATGTACATTCGTAAAGATAGTATATAACTTAATAATTAATTTACAATATAATAAAATCTAAGAGTTTATATATAACGGTAAGATTTTTACAAATGCTGATGTATGCCGTTTTAAAATTTCTCGCGTTTCTTAAAATTACGCTTCGAGGCGCACCGATGTAATATATCCGATATGTGCGATTTATGCTCAAAAATTTTCATCATCTGATTTTGTGCTTCATGTATGCCATCGACTATTATTTTGCTACGCTGTATGTTACCCTGCGAAATGAAAGGATATATGTACATGAAAATTAATAATTATGAAAGTACTTTTCTACGATGTTTTACAAAAGAAAGAAATTATAAAAAGATAATAATAGAGACTTGTCCAAACAAATTGATATGGGTTTGAAAAGTTTTCTTTTATGAATTTGCTTCTTAGTTTTCTAAATATTTTATATCAGACTAAACTTTTTACTTCACTTATTTGCATTACCTTAAGCAGTTCGTTAATGCGCTCAATTTCCGGATTCTTCTCATGCGTTTCCATTTGCTTCAACATATTGCTCAACTGATCGTACCCATTCGATTCATTCTCACACTGAAATGCATGAATGCAAGAGTTTCATATAACATCAGATAATTTAAACATTAAATTCCCTCTTACCAAATCCTCCATTTGCGAACTTAAATGATAGATTTTCCAACCATTAATTTTGCCCATTACATTGGACTGATTTGCCAAATCAATAACCGTTGGACGGCGTTCTTCACGCGGTTTCACATCTGAGTATCGTTGAAAGTGATTGTTGGCCGTCTTCCAATTTTGCTTGTATGTCTAAAATATTACAACGAAATTCAATAGTTAATCAAATGTTTGTAAATTTTTTAATTTTTCACCCAAACTTACATTTAGCAAAGTGAAACTCTGCGGACGTCGCACAGCAAATTCCGTTGGTTTGGCGTTTTCCTTATTGCCTGCGGTAGGAGGCAAGTTATTATTTTTGTGATTGCTCGTAATATTATGTGCAGCATTGGTAATAATAGCATTTGCATTATTACCATCATATTGATGCGTTGCCGAACTGTCAGCAGCGCCAGGCGCCATGGAGCCTTGTACGGGAGCTAGCAGCATACCACCGTTGCCACTTGCGGCAGACAGCTCATAGTTGTTATTGCTATTGCCGGTATTGTTGCTGCTATTCATATGAGTGACAGCAACCCCAGTCGCTGTTGGTGGTGGGAGTGTGAGTGAACTTTGACTATGACTCGAAAGCTGACTATCGTTACTGTGTAACGAGAAGAATAGAAAGGAGAGAAAGAAAAAGAGAAGGCAAAATAATGAATATGTGAAGTGTAACGAAAACATATTTCTGTGCTTACGTTGAGCGTCTGGACTTTTTGCGCGTCGTACATTCGGGTGGCCCACCATTGAGACGAGCCGAGCTTGACGCCATCGGGGCGTGCAATTGCTGATGATGATCCAGCGAAGAGTTGCGTGAGCTTATGGGTGTGCCGTCGCCGCCTCCACTCATAAGCACATTTTGGTGCATATTAATGTTCCCATGGTGATTCGCATACAGCTATAAAAGAAGTGCGTGAAACTCAGTAGACTCAAGTAAAGAAGTCTAAAAGCCTTGACATAGGCTATAAGTTCGAACGAAAACGAACTTTTTGTATCCGGCGCACAAATACATGTCCTGCAGCTTTTTGCATTTCTGATAGTTTTCAAATAAATAAGAATTTATCTTTTCATTCTGATGTTGCTGTTTTTAAATACCAACCAACCTTGGACCACGAAAAACCCGGCATCAAGTAAAGTGGAGATAATTAAATTTTAACTCGAGTTATCGTGTGCACGTATGTATAGCATTTTCAGTTTAAATGAAACTTTTTTCAAATTGACTGAAACCATTTTCAAACAAAGCGAAACCTTTTTCAAATTAAACAAGTAATTTTTAGCAAAAAAAAAAGACTTAAAAAATCTATATATTTCATGATTCAATGATCGGATCTAAACCAACCTTTTTCAGGTCAAGCGGAACCATTTTCAAATTAAATGAAACCTATTTCAGATAAAGCGAATCCTTTTTTAAATTAAATTAAACCTTTTTCAGACTCAATGAAACTTTATTCAAATTAAATGAAACATTCTTAAAAGGAGTTTCATTTAATTTGAATAAAGTTTCTTTGAAACTGAAAAAGGTTTCATTTAATTTTAAAAAGATTTCGCTTTATCTGAAAAAGGTTAAATTTAATTTGAAAATGGTTTCGCTTAACCTGAAAAAGGTTTCATTTAATTTGAAAAATGTTTCACTTAATTTGAAAATGGTTTCATTTAAACTGAAAATGCTATATCTATGTATTTACTATGGTCCATAGTTACAGTAAAAACAAAGTCGACTGTAAAGTTATTGCAGCCTTTTGACATAATTTTTAATGAAACATCTGTCAAAAAACCTGCATCTTACTTTCGAGTCTACTTTATTTTGACTATAACTACGGGCCTATATGTCTATGTCTCTTACGATTCCGTTAGGCTGTTACAAACAACCGTTACGTGAACAAAATGATAGTTCCTTTATGCAAACGGATATAAAAAATACTAATCCATATTCCAGTTCATCTCACTCACCTCATTTATGGGATTAAAATGTGTTGCATCGTTTGCGCCTTGCCCCATATTATTACCCATCAACATATTACCATCCTGTATTTGCTGATCAACGCCGGGTGATGAATTCGCCGACACCGTTGTGGAGCCATCCGATGAAACAGGCGACTCACCGCGTGCTGCTCTCTGCACTCCAATAACATTACCAGTGGCCGCTGCTTGTGCGCGATCTTTCTTAGCCAAAGCCTCTGTTGTAAGCGCAGACGATGTCGTAGTTTGTACTGAACTCATTGAGGAAGCCGATGATGATGCCACAGAAGTTATACTGAAAATACTACCTACAGAAGAAGCTGCCGGGGAGCCAGCCGCGCTCGTTAAGATCGCGCCACCGCCACCTCCACCACCCATTGATAGCAATGTTGGTGCAAGATTTTTCGCAGCTCGTATGGGGGATCCATCCGCATCGCGTTTGCGTAGAAAATTGGACACCACGGCTGATCCCGCGCTGCTGCCAGTTAATTTAATCGACGTCTGCAGTGGTATAACAACGTGCTGTCCTTGCGTGCCGGTAAGCGTAGCTGTAGTCGTGCCAGCACCAGCTTGATGCGCTGCTGAAGCGGGTATTAGCAACTGCTGGCCAGCTGCAACCCCACTTTGTTGCAATAATTGCTGTGTGGCTTGTGACACGGATATGGCATCGGCCGTAAGTGTGTTGGAGGAGCTTGCATTGCCGCCGACCTGTGCTGCTGATGCCAACTGCGCACTAAAACGCAATGGCACTGACTGAATTTGGGTACCTGCGGCGCTGGAGACTGGTATCTGCAACTGGGCGATAGAGCGCCCACCTGTTGAAGGCACTACTGTAAAAGTTGGCGTTGAATTTCCCGTATGCGAAGCTGCTGAAGCAACAAATGGCAACGACGAGATTGCTAGATTCGTAGCCGACGATGCGTTTGCTAACTGATTCTGTGTTGGTTGCAAAGCGCTACTTGTAACAGTTGTGGTGCTGAGTGAAAGCACTCCAGTTGATACTTGCACAGAGCTAGCCGGTACCGATTCATAATAGATTGTTCCGCCTTGCGGCAAGAAAGCACCCGCTGAGGTGGACATATTACCACCGCCTCCTGTTGTTGTGAGTACAGTAGTGTTGCTGCTTGAGGCTGTCGGTGGTGCATGTAAATTGGTGGCGCTTACACTTACACTAGACCCATGCTGACGCTGCGCTGACACTGCTTGATGTATGTAAACATTTGTCGGTGGCCCGGCGCTGCTGGTGATAATGCTGCCACCACTCGCACCACTGCCGCTGCCATCCAAGTTTGATGCATTAGCTGTAGCCATTACTTTCCCCACTGTTATGGCGCTGGCATTCTTAAGCGGTGTAATAGTGCCAGTGAGTATGTTGCCAGCTGTGCTGCCACGAGTTGTTATAGCCAGTGGCAGGACTGTGGCGCCTGCTCCAGCTGCCGACGAAACGATATTTTGCGTGCTTAAGAGCTGTCCAGCCGCTGCGGCGGCTGCAGCCTGCGACACATTCACAAGTTGTGCGGTTGATAGATTGGCGACGCTACCGCCGCTGCTCGACGTGGGTGTGTTTGCAGATAGGGCGGATGAATTATTGCCACCTGCAACGCCACCAACATTTGCGCTCAAACTGCTGCTACTACCCAAGGACGATTGTATGCTGGTGCTTACGCTTTGTTGCTGTGCCAAATTAACGCCTATCTGGGCAGTATTACCACCATTGCCAGCGGGCAGCTTACCCAATCCGAACGGTGTGATAGTAAGCGAAGGTTTGGGAGTCATCGAGACCGGTTGGCGTATACCAGACACTGGCCAGAAAAAAATTTAAAACATATTTTAATTATATTTGTTTTTCTTATTTAATTAAAGCTATAAAAGATAATACAACACTTCTCATGCGTTGTTATTAAAATGAATAGAGCTTGTCACAATGAAAGGGCACATTGGCTCTGCAAATATATTATATCAGGATTAACGCTGAATCAGTGAATTTATCTGAGCTATATACATGTGCATACTCGATTTTACTACTGCGCGAACAACAACAGTTGGACTCAGCGGTCTGAGTTCAACAGTCATAAGGTTTGTTCGTCGAAAATCCAGCAAGAATTATCCAACACTCAAAATATCAGAGAGTAAGAAAAAATTCTCTCAAATTCTCTCTCATATTGAGATACTTGCAAATTTCTGCACGAACGCAAATTTGCAGGAATTTGCAAGTTTCGCTGCCAGCTGGCGTCCACGGTTGCATTTCAAACATAAAAAATTTTTATAGAATTTTTAAAATTCTTTCGGATGGCCAAAAACAGGATATACATGTATATTTCTTGTTGTTCTGACTTTCTTTAACATACATTTCAATTTCTTCATCGTACTAGCTGTCGGGTTTCTTAAATCGACTCTGGTTGCAATTGCATTCCGATTGCGAATACCATTTTTTTCAGCCGAATTAAGTTCAAATCATTGGAATTAACTAAATTAATTATATCAACAATTATTTACTTCCTTTTTTCATAAAAAAATCGCTCGTGTTTATAAATTTTTAAATTTAACGAACTAATTTATTCAAATTATTGTAGACAAAAATGCAACCATGCGCCACCACCACATGTTTTTCGTGTTTGCAAATTCTTGCTGGCAAAATTTTTTCCAGCAAGAATTTGCAACTTCTCTCCAAGAGAACTGTCACTTTGCTCTCACAATTTTTGAGTGTTGGATAATTTTTTGGTCTGCACGAACGCGATTTGGGCAATAATCGTGATAATTCGTACAAATTCGTACAAATTTTTTGCTCGACGAACAAACCTATTGCCTTATCACTATGACGACTGGGACGGATAGAGATATGTATTTGTATTTGTTGTAGAGTACATTAAGCTTTATTATATAAATAGTATTTGTGTTCGGATGCAAACTTTTACTTTTGTGATTGGTACAGTTGCAAATCAAACAAACGCCTTTTTAAGGCGGTAGCAAAAGACAAAGGCCAGTAGTCAGAAATTAGAAGCAGGTGTTAGCAATGCAATCTGTGTTTTATGATAAACAATTTGTGCTCACGAACTTAAGCTGACTCAATTTTTTCACTGATAACGTGAGCTAAGGCTCAAGAATTTGTTCTCAAACTCGTGTTGGAGCTTATGCTTGAGGACCAATATTTCAACTTTTTCATGGTCGACTAAAACTCAATATATCGCTAAACACCGCGTTTAAATTTTTAAAAGCGGTGAATATATATTAAAATAATAGACTACGAGCCAAATATTTATACATAGTATAAAGGAAAGCCAATATTCTCTGTTAGCGGTAACCTCGAAAAGTACTAAACGGAGGTGACGAGGGCTGCCACCTGTTAATAAAATTACTATATTCAATCATAATAATCATAGGCATCTGTCCTGCACCGTCGCTGTCAAACGAAAAGACTTAGCCTCTAGATATGCAATAATGTATAATTTTTCTTAATAGAGTTGCCACATTGCTCCTTTCACCGTTCATTGGACTAAAAAATTAGGTACCAAGTGAAAGGATATGGTTCATTCAAATTAAAAAAATGGGGATAAGGTTATATTTTTTCGAAAAGGTTTGCCGGCTATACGAAAAATTATAAGATGTGGTCTATTCGTTGAACTAAAAAGTTGTCAAATGAAAGGACTTGGCCTCCAAAATTTTTTTTAAGTGTTGCCGCCTGTCTAAAAAGTCCAAGTTGCGTTCGTTGCATTAGAAACATTACATATCAAATGAAAATGCTCGGAAAGTAAGTGTGCAGTAGGGCTTTTTTTAACAGGGTTGCCACCTTTTTTCCAAATGCCTATATGTACATACTTATGTACTACATAGACAAATATCTCATTTAATTAAAAACATCAAAGATAATAACGAGCTTACCTAGTTTACCAGTGTTCACAATGATTGGTTGGAACATCACATTCCCCGATATACGTCCAGTCGAGCCGATGATAGGCTGCGCCCCACCGGCTGGTTGTTGCAATTGTATAATACGCGTAGTAGGCAGATTCGCCGTTGGTATAACATTGTTGCCAACACCGGTTGTTACACCACCCATTGTGGTATTGCGTGACGAATTGGTAGTTGTCATATTGCTCGACGCAACCACAGAACCTCCTCCGCCACCTGTAACACCACTACCAACTTGTTGAAGCGTAGATGTCATGTTGGGAGAACGTATACTAATGCTTGTCGTATTTAGTTTGGCTGCGGAAAAGGATTTCGGTAATGGTATCGGGCGTATTTGACGCGAAGCTGTACCAGTGGTGGACGTGGCTGTAGCTGAGAGTTGTGTGGCAACGGCAAGACGTTGGCCTGGAGCTACGGAGGGGTTAAATTGTTGTGGCTGCTGTGTGAGTGGTTGTGAAGTGGCTGCTACATTTGAAGAGTAAACCAGTGTGGCTTGATGCTGACGTGGTGGTAACACAGTGGCCAACGTGGCAACGTAGGTCTGTTGCTGTTGTGATTGCGGCTGACTATGCGAAACGCCAGATGAAGAAACTGCTTGTACAGTAGCTGTAAAATAGGAAAATATTGCAATTCAAATAAGGTTTTTTTTTTTATTATTATTATTATGAATTTATATAAATAGTTAATGAATACTTACATTGTCCGCCTGGTACGCTCGTTTGGTTCTGTGTTTGGTTGCCGCAACCAGTCTGGACAACTGACGGCGGTGTACCAGCGACTACTGTACCACCCACCGCTGTACCCATTCCACCAGCTATGTTGGCGCCGCCATAGGAGCCAGTACTTGTCATACCTTGCGCGGTGATAATACGCTTTTGTGTTTGCTGTGGTATCGAGCGTATGAGTTGCACTTGTCCGCCCGTGTTTGTTTGCATCCAAGTTGTGCTAGTCGCTGGCGATATAACCGATGTAGCCGGTGATGATGTGTTACGGTTCATAGTGGCAGCAGTGCCCCGTACAAATCCTCCAGTTGTTGTTAGCCCGGTTACCGTAGCACCACCACTCATTGAGACAGGATTCGGGCCAGTGCGAATTGGCGTCACAAGCCTTTGTCCCGAGCCTACGGCTGTCATCTGAGTTGCATTAACGCTAGCACGTGGAAAGTAGGTGGTTTGAGTTAGCGGTCTTGTCACTGTTATGGATGTATTGGAAACAGTGCGAGAAGTGGCACCCGCTACGCCCGCTGGTATGGCGGTAATCTGCGTACGTCCGATACCGGCAGCTCCTTCAAACTGCTTGATTGGTATAATATTGGTGGGCATAACAACACGCACCTGTGTCGATTGACCGCCTGCGCCAATGGTGCGTATAGCTGTGGGCGACTGTGCTACATTAAGTGCAATTGGCGTGCCTCCTATAGAAGTCGCTATTGCTCCACCGGCTGTCGTCATTTTAATGGCTCCAGCTGTTGAAATGCTACTAGTCATTATGGTGCTAACACCACTTACGTTGCCGCCGCCCATTTGCATGCTGTTACCACTAGTTGAGCTGGTGTTCACCAGATTACCATCCAGTGTTGTCTTGACATGGGAAATTTTAGCTGCAACTGGATCAAAAGAATATGGTTGGATATGTGGCGATTTATTATACTGCATAGGAGCATATATATTAAGGGTTTGATTGTGAGACTGTGACTGACTGGGTGCATATGTATGAATATCGCTGGGGAGCAAATGTGTTGTGTGTACAGGCGGATGGGTAGGGGGAGTATGTAAATAATTAGAATATGAGGTTATTGTGTTGGGATCGGGTAAATCGGAATGTTGGTTATGTGATTCTTGATTGCTTGAAAATGTAGTTGTTGATATCGTTGTAGTTGTTGTTGATGGTGATTGAATGGCGAAGGCTGTTGGACGCCCTGATGGTTGATATTGTTGTTGGTATTGATGATTGAGGTAAGGTTGTACTATGTAATGGGTTTTAAAGTTTTTATGAGCTTCTGTGGAAGAATTAAACAAGTAAAATAAAGAAAACGAAATGTTATGATTCTGTTTCCTTTCGACCTTGTGACGTAAGCCACGAAACTGTCTTTTATAACGAGCGAATAAAATTTTAAGTTTTCAGAATTCTGCTTAAATGTAAGTTGCAATTTAGCTGCACCTATGTTTAATAGACATCTGTCAAAGACAACAGAACATGGTATGTAAAGCGGACTTAGTGGAAATACAATTCAACTACTTAAGATTTTACAGATAGTAAGGGCCAATTTGTTAGTGCAAGTTTAAACTTAGACATGTAAACTGCGTTCATGTTGAACCACTGACCAATATTTGACTAGCTAATCTTATTTTAAACCACCTAGCTCGAGCTATCGTAGTACATTCCCACGACCGCCGGTTCTACGTACGGGAATGACTCGGGTTTTACCCGACCAAGGGCTGTTGTTTCGGCGATCTAACCCCGTTTAGGTCGGCGAAATCCCCCAAAAGTTGGACGCCCATAGGGCTACTTCTTCTTCGCATACTTTTGCTCAGGGCTGGCATTGAGTCAAACCCCGGACCAGAAAGATATACCTGCTGGGTGTGCCAGAGACGACTACACCAAAATTCCACCTCCGTCAGATGCAACACGTGCAATGGGTGGAGCCATCTCCGAGTTTGCTCAGGCCTCATGACTCACAGGCAATGGACCACTGCGTACGTACAGAGTCCGCCTGAGCAACTCAACACAAACACAACCGCCCAATACAATAGACAAACACTACAACAGGCCACACTACAGATGCAACTGCACCACCACCCACACGCCACCGCGTGACGTGTATTTCAAACGCATTCTGTTTATTCCGGCTGTGAAATGGGATTATCCGGAGTGTATAAAGAAACGCAGCCAATAAGTCTCCTTAGGCACACGAAGATTTTACAATTCAACTGTAACGGACTTCCGGTCAGGCTATGTCGACCTCGAAATATTTAACGTATATATACCCCCTTCCGCCAGCTGCCTGGCAGGATATCACCCTGAAATAGGTGCGCTCCACGACGACGCACCCATCAGGATTATGGGCTGCTACAGCTCGCCAGACCTAACAATAGTCAGCGCTGGTCTGATAAACATGGCGACCTATGCTGACTTAAGCATCAGACCATCTGCCCATAATAATCTCGACTTTACTTCCGCGGGGTGTATAATAAAATCCCGATATACAAAATACCGAAATACGGAATCCCGAAAGACATAATCCAGATACGACCAAATCCCGACCAGAAATAATCCAGACACGACAAAATCCCGATCATACATAACCCCGACAAGAAATCCGGACCCAATATAAAAAAATATAAAAATCGCGCGATTTTTAAATTATTTTTATATTTTGTCGGGATTTTTGTCATGGTTGTCTTCTGTTTTCACTCAAAAATAATGTATAAAAGACACAGTTGTTGTTATTGTTGCAAGGGCTTACTTAGCCCGTAATTGTCCGCAGGTTCAATCGTTTAGTGCAGTGATTCCCAACGTGGTCCAGGTGGACAACCAGGGGACCACGGGAGACTCGACAGAGGTCTATGTTGGCGTAAAAAAAATATGGGGGTCCGCGAGTTGTTAGTAGGGGACCACGAAAAATCATCTGGTCTCGATAGTAAAGAACCAAAATGGTTGCTTGATAGCCTATTTATTTAACTTTAATGTATAGTGCTCTTGACAGCCTGGCGAACTTACAGTCACTTTGTGTCATCATAAAAGGGGAAGCCTTAAAGGCCACCTGCAGACTAAAAAGAAACGGATGTTGGTATAAAACTGAGTGAGGCGATGCGGAAATTGCCGGCGGCAGATATTTGAGCACGCCACCATTACCTTTGTTGAAGAGATTCTAGAGAGAGAGTGTTCCCTGAGGCGGGAATGCTGATTTAATTCCAGCACTGAGCCCACACTTATACATTGTCGAATCTTCACTGATGGCTCCAAAACTGACACAGGGTCAGGATATGGAGTATTTTTCGAAGTCAACGGGAATAAGCTTCATTTTTTCTCTTGGGGAACATGCTTCGGTATTCCAGGCTATGAGGTATTTGCAATCCCCAAACCATGGACTACGTGGAAAATAGGTGGAGGCGAAGGAGTTTATATGTCCACAGGTACAGCCAATCTAAGTACTTCCAAACTCGTTCGGCAAAGCAAGTCTCGACTAAATAATGTCAAAGATAACGAGCGTGCTTTACTCTGGGTGTCGGGCAACTCGGTAGTGCCTGGAAATGAGACATCGAAGCCACCATCAGAAACTGGGTGAATACTTCGCTCAGCAATGACTGGGAACCATCGAATGGATGCAGGTGGGCAAAACTCATGTTGCTTTCAATCTCAGAAAGTCTATCTATTTTTTTCCTCTCACTGTGAAGACAAGACTGCTGACTGGTAACTTCACGTGGCACAAACATCTGACTGTGATAGGCGTAAATGACAACTCCATTTGCCCAACCTGCTTTGAAGAAGATGAGACGGTGGAACACTTATTGAGCTTCTTGCTTGCTTGTTTGTTTATCATCGATTTATCGGGATTCGGTCTTTTAAGTTTGACGCAAAAAGCTTTGCAGTTTTGTTTTTTCAAACTCATGAGTGAGCCGAACATGTGAGGAGTTTATTTAGTGCTCTTAAAAAATATAACTCCTCAGAGCGAGATAGTTCTTTCGTGGCTTTACGAGCTCTTGTTTTTTAACTTGCAAGTGTGTAGTCACATTATTTGAATAAATAGAACACAATAATATATTTTATTTTTATTTTTGCCACTCCGAATTTAGTTTGGAAGTCACCCGCGATGCAAAATTACATCGTTAGATTTAATCTTCACATTTTTTTAGGAGCTTTGGGAATATGTTAGAAATGAGCATCAGGGGGGGTTTTTAAACGGATCTACGAGAAAAACAAGTTTGGGAACTTCTGGTTTAGTGCAATAAGTGTAAAAAAGTAAATATTTGTGTTGAGTTTTTGGGACTTGCTGTTTAACAAAAGAATTTAGCTTTCGGATGCCAAAGCGAAGCGTAGTTTGGTCGCATTTCAAAATTGAAGAAAATAAAATAATTCCATAAGCATTATAGGTGCCTCTCATGAAAATTTTAATCGCCATATGAAAGACAAACATCCTTTCGTAATAATGGAGAAAGACGGAATGAATGAAGACGACTGAATTGTGTTTTAATTGCAGAGGTCCATCGAAATGTAGAAAAAATTATTTTTTTACTTTATAGATTAATTCAATCTTTTATATGTAAGTATCTACTATAAAACATATATTTCTGTTGTTCTGTAACTCGAGTAACTGGTTTATTCGAGTGCAAAACACATGTAGGGAATTTACAATGTTGTTAGCCAAGAATTATTTATAAAAATTTAGTAATTATTAATGTTAATGCAGATTAAAAAGGTAATTTACGTTTCTTACTGTGATAAATTCTTTTAAATAAATTAACTTTCCTTATAAACCCTCCAATCGTACCCGTAGGGGATGAGTCGAGACTAATTCATCTCAATAATACCCGTATGAGACTAGTTGCGACTAATTAATGCCCAATTGTACACGATAAGTCTAATCCCGGAATACTCTCTTTAGAGATTAGTCGCGCAATTTTTTGCAGGGTCAGCTCCTACAATCGAACTAGTTCAGTTAGATGAACTATAGTTCAATAAGATGAATGAACTAAGACTCATAAGAACTAGTTGCTTGAGCTGAACGAACTAGAAGTGAACTAATCTTTAAAGTGAACTAAAAATTTTTTTTGGTGACGCATTTTCTCCCATACAAAGCATGTTCGAACATTTTTTGTATAGAAGAAAATTAGCAACATCGTCAGAAAAAAAAAAATATTCTCAAATTCTTGAGTTTCTTCAAACTTGCGCAATCTCTATTATATATATAAAACAAAGTCGTGTTAGTTACACCATTTATAACTCAAGAAGCTATAACTGGGTCGATATTATGATATTTGTTTAACTATTAAAACAACCCCTAGGTGGCGCTGGAGTCGAGTTATTAGTAAAGCCCGTATTTATGGTCCGATTCGCCTCATATTTGAGATGTGTATTTACAATAGGAAAACATGAACCAAAAATACAAGATCACGTAAGAAGCGCGACGTTGTATTGGTAACTGGTTTTGAGAAAAAAGTTTGCGGAAGCGGGTTCGTCAGCTGAGCGTTTGCTTACATCACAAGCACCACTATTTTACACTTTTATTCAAGTAAAGAAGAGTTAATTCAACATGACAACACATTTTAAAGCATTTTGTTGCATCATTTTACTTAAATTGTGCGTTTAAAGTGGCTGACAATAATTTTGGCAAATTTTGGTTTTCGTTGTTTTCTTTGCTCTGTTTACTTTTCGCTCGTTTTCCAGTGAAACAAGATGGCGTAGAACCCGCTAAAAAAAATCGACTTTTTTCACCCTCTTGTTCTTACGTGATCTTGTGTCTTTCGTTCATGATAGGAAAAGCAATACCACTGCAAACAAAAGAGCCGCCCGGTGGCGTTGGAGTCGAGTTTATGGTCCGATTATCCTCAGATTCAAAATATGGATTGATAACAGGAAAAATAATTATTTCGATAAAAAAAAAATTGTCCCCAGGTGGCGCTGAAATTGAGTTACATATTTATATGTAACCAAAAATCGTATTTATGCTCGAATTTATTTCATTATGGAAATACATGAATTCCCATATCGATGGTCCCTTACAATAACGACACAATAATTTTGCAAAAATTTCGTCGGAAAACGCCGTTTACGAACAGCTGTTCCTTATCTATCTTAATATATAAAAATCCCGTGTCACTGAGTTCGTTTATGATAATCTCCGAAATCGCGTAACCGATTTCGATGAAATTTTGTGGGTGTGTATTGTTGATTCCAACTTAAAAGATAGGATTGTTTTGAACCTGAGAAAAAATACATTGTTTTTTTCATCGAAATTTTTTCTATGCCTCTCACATCGTGCTTATCTCTATATCTATATATAAAAATGGAGTGAAAATTGTATCGTAATTCATTAATTGAGATCGGTTGGACCGATTTGGCTAAATTTTATTTAGATGTTCATAATTATCAGGAGAAGGTTTTTACGAAAGAAAATTTTGGGTGACTCTCCGGGAAAGTCGGAAAATTGGAAAAATCGAAAATATATTTTTTTTTGTATGGAATTTTGTGTGCGATTCCTTCGGAATGGCTTTTGAAAGGAAAAAAGAAAACTCTAAGTGGAAAACTCAGCAAAATCCGGAAGAACGCGAAAAATTTGAATTTGTTTTACGAAATTTTGCATTTTATCGCATGATTTGATGATTTTGGACGATGTAATGGTGGAAAATTCGTGGTAAAGTTTGGAAAATTTCGGATAATTGTGAAATTCATTGTGAGCATGAATCAATTGGGAACAGTTTTCTCCTATGTTTCATAACCGATTCGAATGGTTGCTGCTTTATTTGAAAGGTGTTTAAAAGGAGGGGTGCACAAAGTTTTGTTTTTTCCGATAGGTGGCGCAAGGGTCAAGCTACACAAAAAAAAATGCATTTGGCACGTAGGTAGCCTTTTGCCTAGATTAGCATATAGGAACCATTTTTCCCGTTAAGGGGGCCAGGGACCGAGCTATTCCAAAAAGTCGTATTTAAGGTACGACCGCACTAGGCACACAGCGCAGAAAAATATTCTTTGCATGGATTCTTATGGAGCGTACGCTGCAGCGGAGCTACGCAACGCGACGCTGCATGGCAAAGTTGACACGACTAGGCAAAAATGTTGCGTCGCGTGGTGTCGCATTACATCAGCGTCACTAGCATCTTATTTGAAGGTTTTGACACAAAAAATTAAAAATTTAGCAGCGAAGTGTCGCGCCTCTGCAGCTTCAGTGTCGCGCCTTGTCGCGTGGTGCCGCTGCAGTGTCGCGTCGCTCAGTGCAGTCGTCCCTTTATGGTCCGATTTGCTAAAAATTCGGCACGTAGATAGCTTATTTCCTGGGTTAACATATAGGATATTTTTTCTGATAGGTGGACCATATACCGATCTATAGCAAAAAATCTTATTTATGGTGCGACTTGCTTGAAATTTGACATGTAGGTAGCTTATTGTCAGGATTAACACATAGGATACATTTTTCTGATAGGTGGACCAGGGACTGATCTATTCCAAAAATGCTATTTATGGTCCGATTTGGTTGAAATTCGATACCCTTATTATAGATATGCGTAGAATAGAATTGAGTCATTGTTTTACAGTTCGAAAGGTGTTTGTTTATTACACAGGCCAACAAAAATGGAAAAAAATTGCATGCAACAAATGCTGACAAATCTTTTGTGCTGATTACGATTATTGCCAAAAATCGTCAATTCGCCAGGCACCAGGGATCAAAGACAAATTACCCCCGTTAAATCAACCATCAGAATCATTGCGGTGCTTGCGTTACGGTGACTAAACAGAATGTGGACCAATGATACTCATCAGTTCAGTTCGAAGTTCGCCGGGCCTGCTAGTATTATAATAAAATTGAATCGGGTTTAAAACTACAAATTTTCGGGTATGCATGCAGTTTTGTAGCCCATTCAATTTTAGTATAATAAAGTGCAAGTTTCAAGTCGCTAAACATTACCGTTGATTTTTTAGATTTTTTTTTGTGGAGGGTGTTGCGCATTTTCTTCCATATAACACATGATCAACATTTTTTTTTACATGGAAAAAAATCCGCAACACCCTCGACAAAAAAAATTCTAAAAAATCAGCGGTAATTTTTAGCGACTTGAAACTTCCACTTTATTATACTAAAATTGAATGGGCTACAAAACTGCATACCCCAACATTTTCTATATATTCTAATTAAAAATTTTGAAATTTTGATGACGATTTTTTTAAGTTTGATTAATTTTTTTGCAATTTGTGCAAGCTTTGTAACTTTTGTTATTGTGGTTTCTGTAATAGATTGAATTATATTTTAAATGAATATTATTAAAAATAAATAAATAAACATATTTTGCAAGCAATATCGTTTTGAATTTCGTTGCTAATTAGTTGCACGCATCTGTACACAATACTGTTTAGATGCGACTGCTAACACCAGGCGCCTAAACCCATGTTGTTGTTGTTGTAACAGCATACAAATTCCTTAAAGGGCTTTAAGAGCTGTAAGTTTTTGTGGAAAATTTTTTTTGTCCCGTATCCGGCTCCCATAAATATGGTCACCGTAGATATTCCGATTAAAAATTTGAATGTTTGATCACCATTTTTCTAAATTTTTGCGAGTTTTTATAAATCTTACCCAAGGTTTGATAACGTTGTAGCATGGACTATAATTTCATTAAAAAATAATTAATTAAAACTAATAAAGATAAATTGCCAAACTTGTAAAGACAACTGTTTCTAATTATCTGCCTGCTAATATACGTATGTACCTACTCTGTCACTCCCGAAATTGAGCGTACGGCTCTTTTTTGTTAATATTCGCAATGTTTTAAATGCTAAATTTTTTTTGTTAATTTTGTTTTAAAATTTGGCTTATGCTTTAGCGACTCCCATTTAAATCCAAGAATGATACTGTTTTAAAAAAATTAAGCAAATTGCGAACTTTTCATTACGAATTTCTAAAAAGAATTCAGGTATACAGTTTTATAGTCCATTCAATTTTAGTATAATAATGTGCAAATTTCATGTAAAACAATTCTGAAAATTTTTTATATGGAAAAATTAGTAGGTCAGGCAGCAAAAAAAATTCTCAAAAATCAACGCGATTTTTTAGAGATTTGAAAGTTGCACATTATTATACAAAAATTTAATGGGCTATAAAACTGCATATTAAGAAGTTCGCGGTTTTTCTGAAGATTTTTCTTAATTTTTGTACGCGATATCATTCTTGGATTTAAATGGAGTTTGCTAAAATATAAGCCAAATTTTAATACAAAATTAACAAAACATTTTTAACATGTAAAACATAGCGAATATTAACAAAAAATAGTCGTGCGCTGAACTTTGGAAGTAACTGTATGTATATACACCTGCGGTCAGGTCAATAAGATAGGAGTAAAATTCAACATGATATTGTTTGCAACTTACCTATGTTTATTTATTTATTTGTAATGATTTTAATTTTAAACATAGTTGGGTCTAGTAACTACATGAATAAAATTTTCAAAGCTTGCACAAAGTTGACAAAAATTAACTTGAAAAAAAAAATTGCATCAAAATTTGCAAAATTTTCATTCAGAACTTTTAGAAAATTTTCGAAAATGCAGTTTTGTAGCCCATTTAAGTTTGGTACAATTCATTTTTTTTTTTTAATTTTTAGAAATTTGTTTGAAGAGGGTGTTAAGTATTTTCTTCTATATAACGTATGAACAAAATGTATTTAAAAAAAAAAGTTTGAAATTTTGATGATATTTTATCTTTTGCAGCCGCTCTATTTAATATACAATTAATTAATGATTTTATGCTACAAATTTAACGTACATATATTTATTAAGATTTTTTCTTATCACTAAAAATTTATAAACACTAAAATTTTAAACACCACGACAACACTGCCCCCGATACACTTGAGAATTGGAGAGGAACAATGGGCATGAATTTGGTACAGAAAATGAATACTTAAGCAAATAGAAAATAGCAAACGCATACAAAAACTGCAATATTATCAGAAAAAGAAGAGACCAATACTTTATATACGTATGCACCAATGGATACAAATCATAACCAAACAAGTACATATGTATGTGAATTTTTCTAAAAAGCATATGCACGATAGTTACAATGCACTGCCTTATTATTGCTTTAGTTTACATTTTTTATGCGCACACGAGCGTTACAATTACACGTACTCACCTCCCGTTGGCGCCTGTGTTGAACCCATGCCAGCCACAACGGAGTTTAGGGCTCCACTATTTGCGCTACCGCCGCCACCACCACCTGGGCCTCCCCCGCTTCCAACACCTCCTCCGCCCCCTACATTGCCACCACCCGGCCCAGGGGCGCCCCCTCCTCCAGTTCCTCCACTTGCATCTACTGTACTCATTTTATTCAGAAACGCAGTATATTTATTGATAAAAATGCTGTAACAAATATATTTTTTGTTAAATTTAGTTCAAATGCACGCATAATTCATTTTTTTCTCTAGTCCCAATTTTACTATCCCCATTGTTTCAGAACTACTACAAACCTTGCTTTTATTTAAACGTGTTAAACAATGGTAATTTTCACTGCTCTTTGCTGAATTTAATTGTTTGCGCCGAATAATAAATTTTTAATTGGAAAATTTTAAGCTTTTCCCTCGTCTACATTCGGTCAATTTTTTGTGTGTGTACTTTGAAAAAATGTCTGCCGTGTGGTGATGCAAAAAAAAAACATCGATGCATCGGAACATCGATTTTTGCTATTCGATGTATCGACTAAAACCGATGTTTTGGACCTTCCGATATACATCGAAATATCGATAGGGGTCTTCCCTAAAACTCGTAAAATCGTCGTAAATCTCATAAAGCTCGTAAATTTAAGAGCCTCGTAAAAGAACTGTCAAAATTCGTATGGAGTTCTATTTAAGAGCCCCTCGTAAATTTATTAGGCAAATTTGATGCGCAAACGACCTCGTAAACTTCAGTGTTGCCGAGGGGCCGAAATTTTTATACAAAAATATATGATAAAATAATGAGAATAAATGAAAACAATTATAATCCCGTCAGAATGGGCTTTTTGCGTACGTTCCGTTCAAGGATGAAACTGACAGTTGAGTAGACTGTGTGTGTTTGCATAGAGAGCGTCAGATTGGCAACCCTTGCGTCAACGGACCTAAAAGCCCGTCCACATAGAACTTTGGCGTTGCTTTGGCGTTGGCGTCGCTTCAACAGCTGACTATGAATACATGAATTCAAATGCAGCTGTCCACATAGCCAAAATTCGACAACGCTCACGCCAACACAAAGCAAAAAGATGGCCAACTCTCATCTTTTCGCGTGCGTCGCTCGTCAGCTGTTGCAAATAAATAAAATTATGTGAAATATTTTCCTTTTTAATCAAGTGCGGGCAAGAAATATCGTTTTTAATGCAATTATTGATATGAAATATTAATTTATCTGTCGTAAGTATGTTAATTTAGTGGCCCAAGCATTCGCTGATAAGCGTTCATTGTAGCAAGCATACTTTTAACGTGCGTTCTGTCAAACCAACGCCAACGCCAAAGCCAACGCGAAAGTTCTATGTGGACCGGCCTTAACGAACGTTGGCCAACACTCAACATTTGACGCACCATGATTTAAGCCGTCATCGATTCGCCACTTCGCTGCTTGCTATGTTTGAGTTCCGGTCGCTTAACGAAAAATTTTGCATGTGAAAGCAACAACAAAGTTAGCTAGCTCGGATAGACGATAGCGAGTTTGGTTGTACCTCATTGTATTCGTTCGTTTCGCCACTCGCTAACTGTTGGCGAATCGATGACGGCTTTAATAACACAAGGTTCGATAAACTGACAGTTGTCTCTTTCGCAACGCTCCATTAGCAGTGGAAGCGTGTTGCTTCTTTGCAAATTTATTGGAAACAGTGTAGTTTTGCTGTGAAATAGAAGTATACGACTTTGTGCGATATGTTCATTTGTATATGCATATGAAGCACATTTAACTGGTGAAAACGTGAATAGTTTTTAAATTGGATGTTTACGTAAATCTCATAGCAGTCTGTCCTTCGTAATTGCAACCTTTTGTAAGGGACTACAGAACATTCAAATTGACGAGTTAAACGTGTTAAATGAGCTTGAACCAGTCAAATGAACAAAATGTGTTTATAAACAAGTTAAATCGCATGCAATTGTTGTTGGAAAATTTACCCAGTTAAATCATTTAACTCGCTTGAAAACCAGTTCAGCGCAGAGTTGTATCAGAAAGCTTTTTCCGTACAAATTGAATAACAAAAAATTTATTTTGAATATTTTTTTTTTTAACAAAAATTGCTTCACAAAATCCTGGTTGATCTCTCAAACAGTCACTTTACGCACCTATTTACACCTTTTCACAAAAGTGGCGTTCCCATAAAAACCTCGAAAACTTACGAGTTTTATACGGTTTAAGACTTAACGAGATGTATTTTTTTCGATGCATCGACTTTTGCTGGTAATGTACACTGTACATAATAAATTATTTTGTTGCTTCCAAATTCTTCGCTAGAATATACATTAGGGGTATTGTCTGAGTCTTGCAAAGCCCTTGCACGGTGCACGGATTGCACGGTTTGCAAAGCTGTCCCATACGAAAACCGGTTTTTACTGTGCAATCCGTGCAATCTGTGCACCATGCAAGGGCTTTGCAAGACTCAGAGAATACCCCTATTCTATTAGTATTATCCAAAATGTTATTGCACTAATAAATTGCTGCTTCATTAGTAGAAACATTTAGTGACAAAAGACCATCTACAATATGATATTAATTGATATGATATTGATAAATATATCTTCAATTTGATGTATGCTATGTTGCAAAAATTCTTTTGCCGAGGCGGCCTTCAACCGCGTTTAGGGATTGTAACCCTTACTGCTCAGAATTCTCTTCGCTGTGTTGCCAAGAAAAAGGCGCAGAACTTCTTTCTGCGAAGGCAGCCTTCAGCCGCGCTTTAGGATTATAACACTTACCAAATAGAATTCGCCTTTTGGTTTGGAGTTGCATCAGGGGCTATTTTTGCTTACGCGTAAAATCACATTTAGCGCATTTAGCTCTAAATGCTACTCTAAATGTCCATTTATTCATACAAAATTCGTCACCTAAATGCATAAATTCGTCACCATTTTTGCATTAAGAACCTAAATACTAAAAGCAACCCTGTGATCTTCCAAAATTTTCACGATTGTAGTGAATTTTAGGTCCAAAATTTATTATTTCCTTTTCGGTAGGGTTTTTTGCACATTATCTGCTGCGTGAGAATCGATCGTAATAGATACGGATCTGAATAAGCGACTGGAACACGATTTCGAACTCGCGTAAATGTACATTTGCTAAATGCGATCATGCGTTCATGCTATCGCATTTAGCAAATGTACATTTACGCGAGTTCGAAAGCGTGTGCTTTGGAAAAACAGCCATGTTCCAGTCGCATATTCAGATCCATATCTATTACGATTAATTCTCACATAGAAGATAATGCGCAAAAAACCCTACTGAAAAGGAAAAAACAAATTTTAAACCAAAAATTCAATACAAAAACTTGAATTGTTTTAACAATAACCGAACATTTGTTTGTGTATATATTCATTTGCCGGTGCTGTCAATTCAAATTTCCTCACTTAATTAGGAAACAAAACGAACAGAGTTGATCACAAATTGATCCAGATTTCTATCAGCATCACATCGATGTTGAATTTGCGTAACGTTTCTTTATCCAAATAATGTAAAATAATAAATGAAATCTCGATCGGCAATCACTGAAACGCAGCTAGCCACTGTATACGCCAAAAATGCAATGTTGCCAATTTTTCTCATTAAAGCTTGATATACAGTTCAATGCGAGCGTGAGCGTGAGCTTTTTATTTTGACCAATATCTTCGTTATTACTTAACTTTTTGCAATAGTTGATACATCAGAAGATAGAGAATTAAGATATCTTTCAGAATTATAGAATAAAAACTAATTTAAAATGCATAACATACATTTTTTCAAGCTCACACACAACTGTGTGTGTACGCAAAGCATTCGCATGTGAACGGCAAGTTTTGACAGATGTGCGCTCACGCCAACACAAAGCAAAAAGATGGCCAACTCTCATCTTTTCGCGTGCGTCGCTCGTCAGCTGTTGCAAATAAATAAAATTATGTGAAATATTTTCCTTTTTAATCAAGTGCGGGCAAGAAATATCGTTTTTAATGCAATTATTGATATGAAATATTAATTTATCTGTCGTTAGTATGTTAATGTAGTGGCCCAAGCATTCGCTGCCAAGCGCTCATTGTAGCAAGCATACTTTTAACGTGCGTTCTGTCAAACCAACGCCAACGCCAAAGCCAACACGAAAGTTCTATGTGGACCGGCCTTGAACGGCAAGTTTTGACAGATGTGTGTGAGCGTCCATAAGAATACAAATGGAATTATTTGTTTTTGCGAAAGTTTACGCTCACGCTCGCATTGAACTGTATATCAAGCTTAAACCATGTTCGAATCGTGGAAATTTTGGAAGATCACAGGGTTGCTTTTAGCATTTAGATTCATAATGCAAAAATGGAGTTGCATTTAGGTGATGAATTTTGTATGGATAAATGTACATTTAGAGCTAAATGCGCTAAATTTGCTTTAACGCGTAAGCAAAAACAGCCCATTAAACACTTGATAGTTGTTCATAGACCCAAAACGTTAAACTCAAGTTTATGGCTCAATGAGAACGTAATATTATGTAAACTCTACAAAGGGGTTTAATTAAATTGCGATCGATACATTTTCGGAAAACGATGATATGGAATCTATCGAAATTTGTTTACATTTTGTATGACGGCAATTATTTTAGTCTAACAGGTTGAAGTTTTCATCAACTATAAAAATTGTGGAAAAATATTATTTGGTATATAAACCAAATGCTAGAGTTTTAATTGATCTCGAATAAAATATGAATCAAGCGATTTACCTTTAATCATTTTGTTTGATGTAGCTTTGAGAAACCCAACTGTCTTCATATAATGGATACATTTCCCATGGAAGGATATAATGATATTAAGGATGTAAGCGATTTAGGTTGATTAAAATTGTAACTAAAAATTTATTGTCCATAAAGAGACCACAACGCATGCGCAAAGGGCCGATACGCAAATGGAGCGAACAGGAACAGAGGAAGCTAATCGATTTTTTACGCACCAACTTGCCAATTGAGAAACCGACTGCAAGATTATATTACCAGCGCTTCTCCCAACATTCTAAAATAGCGATTGAATGGCGACTAGTGCGAAGCAAAGTGCGAAATTTGCGTGTTGTATATACAAAAGCAAAATGCTGGCAAAGCTCAGATGAGGCAATGCTGCTGAGTGAGGAAAGGCGACGAGGTACATTAGTTTAGCATATTTGAATTAGTACAAATTTTTTTGTTTTTATTTTATTGATACAGAAATGGTTTTGAAAATGTGCAATTTTTTTGATGATTTCGAGGAGATATCAAATCGACACGGGATGGATATGCAGTGTTCACTCAAATCCTTAGAGTTTCCCCAATATAGTAAACTAAGTGATCCAAAAAATGATCTAGGTACATACGGTCATATAATTTCCTGCGTTGGTACAAGTGATACTGTTCAAACTCAAGTAAGCCTTAAAAGAAGTTTTAAAGATTAAAAAAATTAACACATGAAAACAACTTCATTCCCAGCTCGAACCTGTACCGGATTTCGCGGAGCCGGATGTAAAAATTGAGCAGGAACTTAGCCTACATGATTCTACAATTAGATATGACTATATGTTGAATGAAACTTCAGATTCATCAATGGGGGATACCCCCCACAAACAGTCATTTAATGAACCTTCCAGTATAAACTGTGAGTCGGATGAACTGAACAGCAGACATGAAATGTTTGACGAGCGCGACTTTAAGGAAAGAAAACTAGCTCTGGAAATTGAAAAATTCAATTTTGAAAAAGAAAAATTTTTCAAAATGCAAGAGCTACGAAAGTGGGAGCTTCAGAGCCAAGAAAGGATAAGGAAGCTGGAACTACAAATGCAAGAGCGAATAGCAATTCGTGATTTAAATATCAAGGAACGAATTGCCATTATGGAACTAGAGCGAAGAAAAGAGAATTAACCTGCGACCTTTTTTAAATTCTGTATTTAAAACATATCGCTTATGCGCAAAATGACTGACAATTCAAAATCGTTAATTTTTGGGAGACACTATGTATAGAGTGCACATACATATATACACATTCGCTTTTCAACAGGACGCAGCACAAAATTCTCGCACGAAATTTTTGCACAACAAAGAATGATCTGACGATTTGTTTTGCTTGACCCTTAGCCGGGATCGTTTTTTCCTCACGTTTAAGAAAGTCCAAAATGACCCCATGTAATAAAAAAAGAATTTAATGCGCTAATTTAAAAAAAGTGTAAATTTAATATTTATAAACTTTGCCATACATTTTTTTTTTATTTCTTAGTCTTTTACTTTGAATAACTATATGTATACCGTCAATGGGGCTGGGTGGCAGAGGTGCATACTACTACTCCGTTGGGCTTCATCTGCCTCGGGAGACAAGAACCACAATAGCCCAACTTCGCTCTGGCTACTGCAGCAGGTTAAACTCATACCTGAGCAGACTAAATGCGGATGTGCCGAATGAGTGTCCGGCATGCGGAGAGACACCTCATGACTCGAAGCATCTCTTCGTATACCCAACAACCCTAACGCCTTTGTCCCTATGGACCGACCCAAATGAGGCTGCAAGCTTCTTAGGGCTGCCGTTAGTGAAACTTGACGACAACGACTGAGATATTAACCGATCTGGGCGGGGTTGTTGTAGTCGCTACAACAACAACAACTACTCCGTTGGAACTGGATCCGATCCGATAGTCCAAACAACATCTGAATAAGAAATTTGTTTGAGTTCACTTATTTATTCTTATCTTTCAAAACTTATAACAATAGATTTAATGATTAAACATCACGGAATAACAAATAGCATTAAAGCAGTGTTTTCCGATCTTTTGAATGCGCGACCCCAAACGTACATACCAAGGGGTCACGACCCACAGTTTGAAGAACACTGCATTAGAGTAGGGAGGTGCAGCCCTTTGGTAAGGGAGTGTCAAACCGCGACTGTCAATAATTATCTAACCTTGTATTATTGAATCATGATTCCGGGTAAAGTATCCATGTCCATGATCCAACTACATAAGATCTGACAATATGAAGCAAAAGAAAAAGTAATTTTTTGGCTGTCCTTTGTAATTTCGGCGCCATGTTATTTACTTTGAAAAGCAAACAAAGAATATGAAGACGAAACATAAAGAAAAAATTCAAGCAATATTTTGTGCTAACCAGTTTATTATTTTTGTACGTATGTTTGCAACCGAACACCGCACACTTCATTTTAATTACATTTGCACAAAAAATTTGAAAAAAATCCCTTAAAAATCACCGAAATAAACCACCGACAAAATACACATAAAGAAAGAAACAAAACGGAAATAGCAACCTTTAAAATTAAGAACGTCACACACTTTTTTCTCAACTGCTATTACAAATGGCTGCTTCTCAACCGGTCAGATCTGTTCCAATTGGTTCATGTCCATGTTTTCGATATATCGACCTGGGAATATCGATTCAACAAATCTATTATCGCACGATGAAATATCGATAAGATATCGAACATTCCTAGTTACATTTTTGTTTACATTTTGTATTTAGGACTGCGTTCCTAATAAAATATTAGGGGGAACTGGTTAAAGTTTTCTGATGTTACATTTCGTTCTAATTGAGGCCGGTTATACAATGATTAATCCGATTTACAGTTAATTTCGTTTCGCGCTGCTTCGCATGAATACGAAATACAAATACCAGCGCTGCCCTTGAATAATGGCGTTTCACGATTTTCCAAGCAAAGGGCGGAAAGCCGTTAAGAATGTAAGTGAATTGCTTAGTTAACAATGTAATTAATAATTCATGGTTTATTAGAGACCAAAGCGTTTGCGGAAAGGGCCGGTGCACAAGTGGAGCGAACAGGAACAGAATAATCTATTAGATTTTGTACGCAACAACTTGCCAATTGAAAAACCCAACGCACGATTGTATTACCAGCGCTTCCTTAATCAATCCAAAATAGCGATTGAAGGACGACTAGTGCGCAGTAAAGTCAGAAATTTGCGCGTTCAGTATACAAAAGCCAAATGCTGGCAAAGCTCAACTGAGGCAAAGTCGCTAAGCGAAGAAATTCGACGAGGTAAATTACACATTTGAGAAACAATAACATTTGAAATATCTTAATGCATTTTCTCATTAGAAACGGTTTTGAAAATGTGCAACTTTTTTGATGTTTTCGAGGACATATCAAATCGACACGGAATCGATATGCAATGCTCATTTAAATCAGTAGAGTTTCCTCAATACTTCAAACAAAGCGATTCCAAAAATGACCTATCTAAATGTGCTAAAATAACCTCCAACAATGGTGATAGTGATATCGTTCGAGTTCGGGTAAGCCCAATAAGACATTTTCAGAGGTTGGAAACCCATGCACAACAACATACGCAGTTCGAACAATCCGAATCTGCCGGTCCAGATATAAAAAATGAGCTGGAGCTTAGTCTATCCCTTTCTGCAGGTGGGTTTGACCACATTTCAAATGAAGCTTCAGATTCATCAATGGAAGCCACCTCCCACAGAAAGGACTACTCAGATTCAATTTATAAGTCTTCTAGTATAAACTGTGAGTCTGATGAGCTCAACAGTGGGCTAGAAATGAATGGCCACTCGGACTTTGAGGAAAGAAAATTAGCTCTGGAAATTGAAAAATTTCATTTTGAAAAGGAAAAATTCTGCTACGAAAAGGAAAAAGATATTAAAATGCAAGAGCTTCGGAAGTGGGAGCTTGAGAGCCATGAGAGGTTAAAGAAGCTGGAAATACAAATGCAGGAGCGAATAGCAATGCAAGATTTAAATATCAAAGAACGAGTTGCCATCATGAAACTCAAGAGAAACAAGTAATTTTTAAGCACACAACTGACTTCAATTCTCATATAAAAATTTAGGATTACCGTTAAGTCGGTTTGACGGACTAATTAATTTATTTACATATAATCACAAGAAAAGTAATTTTTAAGCATAAAACAAAACCGAACTCAATTCTCAGAAAAATTTAAGAGCACCGTTAATTTCTTCGTGATCCAATGATAGGATCTAAACCAAATTAGTATGGGACCATCTCTGAGGTACCACCTTTCCTTTAAAAAAAGAAATCAGTAGACGTGGTCCAAAGTTATGCGGTAATATACATACATACATACAAATAAAAATATATTTCATTTTGATATTGTTTTTGCGCTTTGTACTACGATTATGATTATAAACAAAAATGGAATTCCGGTGAATTGATAACGTCCTTTTTTGAAGCCGGTTAAAAAGAAGTAATAGCTACTCACGCTTGTCACTGAAAAACAAATTTAATTTTTTATAACTTTTTTATATTTTGAGGACTATTGGTGTGAGATGGGATTAATCAGCGTACATACATATAAATTTTTAATACAGTTGGGGTATTAACAACAGTGTCGTATTGTTGTATGTAGTAAACTTTAAACGCCCAAAAATATGTTAAAGGGGTTTGCAAAGTACCATCAAAGTCATATTATGTATTCTCTAAACATTTATTTACGACACTTACGACATCGCTGTGAATCCCTCAAGTATTTTTGATCTTTTATGACACCAAAATGTTCACTTTTTTATATAGAAATCTTATCCGCAATGCTTTTAATACAACTTCCGCAGCAATCAGCCATTGCCACTGCTGACGGGAGTTGTTTCCTCCTCTCACATGGGTGGTGGCGGTACAGGAAGCACACCCATTGGTGGTGGCGGTGGCACACCATTGAACATGTGATGCGGACGTGGTGGACCAGGCATCGGGAAACCGCCAGCAGGGCCCAGTGCCCGATGAAGTTGTGGTGGAGGTGGTGGGATGATTTTTGGTTCGAATTTAAATGAAAATTGTAGGAAAAACTGCTTCGTATCGCGATTCCAATGTGTCCAAAATTTCCCCTCGGTTTTTTCTACTTCTCGTGACGGAACTTTAAATGCAATGGTCTCGTATGGCTCAGCGGCGAAGAGCAAATATTGCCATTTACGATCCGGGGGTTCAATTTTTTGTTCATAAGCGGACATGAACCGATGACGTGGGATGATACCATCAGTGATTTCAGGGTAATCGATTTGGAAAAGTAAAGATTGCTGACCATTGCTCGGGTCACGTTGTTTAGTCACTCTATAACCGGGGCGACCTATTTTTACAAACTTTTTCGGTTCAACACGCGGTTTTTCTGGCGCAAGCACATATGGCGCTTCCTTGGCTTCTTTAGCAGCACGTCGTGCCAAGTTTTCTTGATGCTTTTTACCCTGTGTATGGGCCAAATAACTGCCCTCATTGTTATGAAGAGTCAGACAAAGCTTGCACTCGTACGAACCCAAATGATTTTTCATAAAATAAGGGTCCTTATTCAAGTCGATTGTTTCCAAGGCTATAAGGAAAAATTATTATTAACTTAACCATGTTAAAAACATTATATCTTACCAAGTAGGCGAAGACGCTCCTTGCGATCGCGATTAGTTTCCGACCATGATGCGACCCCCCCACTGCCGGTTTTACCGCCGGGTCTGTTTTGAAAATCCATGTTTCTATACGGCGGGGGTAAATTGCATATTGAAAACAAGTAATTATGTATACAAATACTTCAATATAAATAAGATCGATAAAATGATTTACCAAAAATCTGCACGGCAGTCGAAAATATTAGTGATGTGCTGAATTGCTAATAGGGATGCAAACAATGCATCGATATTTTTGAAACATCGATAATATCGGTTCAAAATTCGATGTTTGCCATCGATGTTTCCAATTTCCTAAAATCGCTAAATTGACGATACATCGATGCCAGTTTCAGCGATGTTTTAACATCGAATTATGCTCCTAAAATTTTTTGACTGGCCATGAATTTTTATATATTTTTTCTTTTAAAAGGAACATTCAGAAATTCCGAGTTTACTCTTATCTTTCGATATTAAAAATGCATACTTAGTCATTAAAAAAGGACCGGGATCCCGTTGAAATTTCAATGAAATTGGGCCTTGCAACTTTAGGCTTAGCGAGCTTATGACGGCATGCATTTCTATTCTATTTATAGGGAGGGAATGGTAAATAAATAAGGCAATAATTGAATTACACAGAGTTGGAATTGAAAAGTATTAAATTTTCCTAACAAATCTCGAAACATCGGAAACCATCGATATGTCGATGTTTTTCTGGCGATGTATTTTAGAATCGATGTTCATATTTCCGATGCATCGAAACATCGATGTATCGATGTTACTCCCCAAAATTTGCATTCCTAAATTGCTAATACTCGGTACCCAATACCGATTCTACTCACGATTGCAATAGAATATCTGTCAAAAAACGTTCATCGACTTTATTTCGAATATGAATATGCTTGATAATTAGTACGATTTAAGCGAAGCGCACATTGGCGCGATTCTGTCGTTGCGAATACGTTGCGAATTCGGCTGTTAACTTCGAATCCGCAAACGTGCGCACACTTGAGCGATTTTTTCGCGTCGATTTCCGATGTACAATTCACTCAATTTTCCCTTTATTTCGTGTATTTTCGCACTCGGCGTGCCCAAATCGTACAAAATACTATTATTACGAACGTTTTTATTAGTTTTTGTACATTACACGTTTTTTTTTCTTTGCCTTTATTGCTGTGACACCTTTCTTCTTCTTCTTTGACGCCTTCAAAACGCTGCAAGCCGCGTTTCGAACGCGTCATAAAGAGGAACATTGAATGTTCGAAAAATTCGCAGCGACGGAATCGTGCAAGTGTGCGCTAGCGCATTAAAATGTATGGGTAGCATTGTTGTAATTTTTGGGCTTGCGGATTCGCAACGACAAAATCGCGCCAATGTGCCCTTCGCTTAAGACGATGCTTTCCAAAAAGTTGAGCAATTTGTACTAAGCAATGTGGAAACTCATTTCAAAACACTCTCGTCGCCTTCTTGATAGTGTCGCAACATCAGAATACCATTTTATCAGTTTCCGCCTTCGTAGATCTTTCATGCCTACAAAGATAACATCGTCCTGTTCATCTAGAAAAAATGTTTCAAATAAGGAAGAGTTTCTCTGCAATGTGGCGATGAAAAATGGACATTAACACCTCTATTCGCCCCTACACTTGCTTTTGATAGGCTAGGCTCCCCTAAACCGCTTTTAACCGGCCGTCTTCACGCGCTGGAAAATATCGCTTGCGTTACTGGCCGTCTCCACAGGATAAAATTCATTGCTGCCCAGCTGTTATTTTGGTCGGTAGATATAAGTTATACCAGTGGCAATATTTGTGTGAGCTTTTTATATCTTGATATAAGCATTTGTAAGATAGCTTTGAAAATGTATTTTTGGCGGATTTAATCGCTTAAAAAATTTAGAAAATAGGCTATTTCACATTCAAGTACATAATTACAAATATTTTAACAGGAAACAGCTCAATTTTTGCTTTTATATAAAATAATAATGATGTTGCAGCCACGAAGTTTTCGTGCAAATGAAAATGTAGCTGTCAAACTACCAAATTGCCGGCAATAGATGGCAAGATATAAGCTCTGATATATATTGCTCTTGAAGAGCAATGAGCGGTCTCCATTGGCTATTTATATTCTAACATATGTATCAAGATATAAACTTTATCCTGTGGAGACGGGCAGTTACGACGCATGTATTTATATAAAACATGTGAATTCTAAAGGCCCGTCCACATAGAACTTTGGCGTTGCGTTGGCGTTGGCGTCGCTTCAACAGCTGACTATGAATACATGAATTCAAACGCAGCCGTCCACATAGCCAAAATTCGACAACGCTCACGCCAACACAAAGCAAAAAGATGGCCAACTCTCATCTTTTCGCGTGCGTCGCTCGTCAGCTGTTGCAAATAAATAAAATTATGTGAAATATTTTCCTTTTTAATCAAGTGCGGGCAAGAAATATCGTTTTTAATGCAATTATTGATATGAAATATTAATTTATCTGTCGTTAGTATGTTAATGTAGTGGCCCAAGCATTCGCTGCCAAGCGCTCATTGTAGCAAGCATACTTTTAACGTGCGTTCTGTCAAACCAACGCCAACGCCAAAGCCAACACGAAAGTTCTATGTGGACCGGCCTTAATTGAAACATTTTAGCCGTTTTTTCAATCTAGCCGGTTGCACCAAAAGTTCTGGCAACACTGGTCAAATCTCATCTGTTCTGTTTCCTTTTTGTTTCAAGCCTTGCCAGATGAATTCGACTGCACTACTTATAGACCCTTTAATTACGGATTTAAGTATAAAAAATAAGTTAAAGCAATATTAATGGTTTTTTTAATAATATTTTATTGTTTTTCATAGAATTTATTATATATTTAGTGCGGTATAACGCATTATCTCATTAATTCTCTCCATTTTAATTATTGCCGTCATATCACCCTGTTCGAATTATCATTCCCCATAAATTCGCATATAAAAAGTTGACATTTGCATATGAGATTTTTCTACGATAGTGGACAACGAGGTGCGCCTTGAAATCTTTTAAAAGTTGGGATATTAGTGCAATTATGCATTAAAACGCAATTGAGAAAATTAATTTAGTATCTTACATTTGTATGTTTACGTGTTCCATAATTTCATCATTTGTGAAAAGTGCATAGTGATCAGTTGTGCAAGTGCAGTTTTATAAATTAATGCGTGTGCTATACGAAAAATTCTCGTGTCCAAAGTATGCTGACGCGTTAATGCAATAAAAGTTAAAAATTAATGTGCAAAAAGCTTTGTAAAAAAATAAAATGAATGCTGATGAGTCGTCTGATGCAGGTGCAAAAACAAAGCTTAGTGGAGAAAAAAATGTGCTCACGATGAACAGCGAACCAGCAACCACTTCTAAGAAGAGCACTGCAGCTTCTGCTAGTAATGCCATTCATTCCAATCAAGATTTTGGTAGTATCAAGCACATTCAGTTACCTAATATACCACAAATCACAGCCGTGGCTCCCTCTGCCCATCCCGTCGTTACTGACGAACGGCTAAATGCCAACAGTGCTAAACGGGTCATACGTAAAGTTATGGTAATTGATCCAAAAAAGTTACAGCAGGCTGGTTTAGATCGAAAGTTAGCAGAAGCTATCGGTAGGCAAAAGCTTAAGGCGTTGGCTCAGGAAAAGAAGAATAGTGAACAAAATGCTGAACCAATAAAATTGTTAACACATAAACCTCAAAAAGATTCAAAATCACTCCTTGTGCGACCTTCAGCAGCAGCAACAGTAAAAACATATACAAAATCAATTAAATCTACGCTCTTAACAACGCCTGCAACGCATACAGTACCAGCCACAATAGAACCCCTTCCCACAATCAAGAAATCAGAATCGGTTAAAAATGAATCGCTAAAATCACCTGCAACTGAAATAACAACTACAATGACCAATGCAACCTTTAGCGGTACCGCTCAAAATCAAGTTGGTAAGTCGCTACTAAAATTAAAAATATATATATATATATATCTATATACATTTTAAAACATGTTGAGTCGAGTAGTCGGGTCATAAATATTTTTACTTAAAAGATTTGATATATTGAACATTTTGCTCACGATGTGCCCGAGGCGTACGTGGTTGAGGTGTTAGTGTTAACACTCGGAAGTTTTCGGTCGCGAGTTCGAGCCGTGGTCGTCGGCTTGGTGAAAAGCTTTCCGTGTTTTTATCGCAATAATTTCACATTTTCTTCTTTAATATATATTTTTTATGCTACCGGTTTTTCGTTCACAAAAATTAAAAATGCATTATGTGTATTGCAATTCCGGCGGTCAGGTGCGGATAGAAAAACATGTGTATGTGTGCATAAGTATGTATGTGTATGTGAATGAAATTTACTTATTTTTAGCGCTTGCGTTATTTATAGAATTTGTTTACATGCATTTTCGGTATGTATGCTTTTACAGACTTTTGTAAATATTGAACACTTAGAAAGCTATCTTTTATTAAATTGAAACTGTTTTTAAATCTCCTCGTCGAATCTTTTTTCTTACAATTTATCCATAGGAAACGTTTAGATGCTGAATTACGTATTTATTTATTTTAATAAGTATCTCAGGCTAAAAAACCTTATTTTCAAGCCCTAAAAATTCCAATTAGTAAAACACGATTAACCGGGGAATTCCCGAAAAACTAAACTAGAACAATTCTTAAAAAATTATATCTATAACCAAAAGATCGTAAATAAGAAACACGGAAAATCTCAAAATTTTATGGAAAAATATCGGAAAAATGAAAGACGAAAAATCCGACAAAGCCCAAACAAAAAAAAATCATGATAACATCCTAAACAGTCCGTAAAAGTCAAACCCGAAAGACCCGGCAAAATCTTGAGCGGTCCCGAGCAAATTCTGAAGTCTCGAAAAGTCACTAAACATTTTATTTTATTATCAATGTCAAAAAAAACTGTGTTTACGGGTTATTACCTAAAAATAAAAAAAGTAAAATAGGCATTTATTGCTTAAAATAATAAACATTAGTTTTTCTTATAAACCTTGAGGGAATCTTGTGCTCCAATGGAAGACGATTTTAACGGAATGTTTTAAAAAATAAGGCAATATATTTAGTTTTATTATTTAAAAATCTGAAAATAGCTTTTTACATAGTTACAAGTTTGCGCCTTTTACATGGTTGTCTCATTATACTGTAAACCCCTTTTAAAAATCGTTGCTTGATATGAGGCATTTGCCGCGGAATTGAGCCACGGTTCAATAGCTTAAGACAGAGATGTGCGGCAGATAAAGGATGAAATAGTTGGAAAGTGTTCAGGGTTCGAATCCTGGCGAACGTAGTTGAACTTAAAAAAAAAATGATTATTATTATTTATTATTTTACTATATGTACATATATTACGTAACCTTAATTTTATTTTAATTTTTTGTGTTAAAGTTGATAACGAAATGGGAAATGAATGTAAAAAATTTACGCTTGTATGTACAAACATACATACATATGTATGTATGTACAGGGTCATTCCATTGAAAAGAGGAAAACGACATAAATTAAAATGTGCACCAATTATCTCTATATCAGTAGTTACCTCTTTTTGAATGACTACATTTCATTAACCTGTGGGAAAATATTAAAAAAAATCAAAAGAAGTTTTAATCTTTGTCTATGGAAAATTTTTATCTCATGCATAATAGCTTTACACTAGTCGCAGGAGATGTCCCACCAGTCACAATTTTAAATATTTTTTAATATTTCTATGTAGATTATATAAACCTCATTTTTATTGAAAACGAAAGCATTTAATTCATGTTTTATAGCACAAATACCTCGTTCGTGAAAAGTAAGTCTTTTGGCTAAAATGCATCTTTGAGTGCACAAGGGTAAAATAGAGTTATTTTCAGTGTCCCACCAGTCACATTCATTCAAATGATAGTTTCATAAAACTAAGAAATTGTTTGTTATTTTTAACCGGCTTCCAAAAAAGGAGGAACATTTTTTTTTATGTATGTTATCGCATAACTTTGGACCACGTCAACCGATTTCGATAATTCTTTTTGCATCGGAAAGGTAGTGTACCTCAGAGATGGTCCCATATTAATCTGGTTAAGATCCGATAAGTGGATCATGAGATATATATATTTTTTATATGAGTTGAAGTCAGTTTTTTTTTGCTAAAAATCACTTGTTGTTAAAGCAGTTTTATACGTTAGTTATCATTCTATGTTAAAAATTAGCTTTCGCTTTTGTATAAGCTCCGACGACATAGTTAAAATTCACAATTGATCCCGTTCTGGGGTAAAATGTCCCACTAGTCACAATGGAACGGCCCTACATACATATGTATGAATATATCTGAACTGTGTAACTATGAAATCATTTACATTTTTAAATCATAAAAAATTTAAAAGTACGATTTCATTACTTTTCTCTTGTTCGGTAGTGGGGGTTGTATTTTTGCAATCTACAATTACACAGGCCGACAAAATAAGACCGATTTCCTTACCCAGAAACCAGACTATACTTTAGTGCGCTGAATTCAAATCTGGCCACATAATTACTCTATCGCATCAGGATTTTTAACAGAATAATAGGAAAAGTAAAGGAACACAAAAAAACCAAATTTTTAGTCCAAAGAATGGCAACAACAAACCTAACGTCAAATAAGAATGTAAATGTATGTACAAAACACCTTCACACAAGCACAAGCACAATAAACACTTACTATTAGTCTGTTCCAATAGCAGTCCGGTTTACAGGATTTAGTCAGAACTTACAGGAAGTCGTTCCTATTGACATAAAACCTGTAAGTGGGAACACTTTTTAGAGAGTAACTGAGCAACGGTTCCTAGTCAGAAGTTACAGGATTTAGTCCGGAGTTTTTTTTCCTGTAAGTTCATGAAAAGTGTCAAACGATCAGCTGATTTGCATGTGCAAACAAAAACAGAAAGCGGTGAAAGCAAGGAACCTTATATTTGTAAAAAAATGGAAGGAAACATTGAAATGTTTGAATATGTATAGATTTTAATAATTATTTAGTGATATTTCAGCCAAATCAGTGTAGTGCCAATGACATGTAAACAAACCGTCTGACGTTTTTACAGGAAATAGTGCTTTTTGCGTTCCTATGCACTTCTGCATCTGTTCTCCTTTTACTCTCATTTGAGAGCGTAAAATTGTAGTTTGACAGTTCCACAGGTTTTAGTCCGAAGTTCAAAGGAACAGACTATATATCAATTATTTTTGCCTCCTTCCAATTTCAATTCACTTTTTTTTACTTTTTAGACTATTCTCACTTTTTGCGTATTCTTTAATTTCCGTTAATTTAAATTCAGTTGAGTTTGACACGTTTCAGGATTTTGCCAGAAAAAATTCTTCTGACTAGGAGCGTTCCTTATCTCCCAGAAATAGTCAGAAAAAGTCCGAAGTAGTCAGATTTAGTCCAAAAATCGTTCCTTAACTCGGAAATGACAGCTAAAATGAGAGAGCAACACCCAGTGAGAGTGACTCTCATCAGTCCGAAGTAGTCAGTATTTCTGGATTTAAGGAACGCTCCTATTCTAACGTGTGTCAAGTTAGCACTACACTTTTCGAAATTGGAAAAGTCAACTATGGTATTAGGAGTGTACTCGTACGCCCAACTATATAAAGCTTTAGAAAACTTTTACTGGTTTTACGTTCTCGTACCCAAAAAACTTGCAAAGTAGGGGGAATTGAGAGAGCGAAATGTGAAAGAGAGCTGCAAATTTCTGCAGGAAAAATTTTTCCCAGCTAAAACTTGAATGTTAGAAAATCAGCTGATCACAAACACATGTTTGTAAATAAACAAAAGAAAGTATGGCCTTTTTGAGTTATTTATTGCAAATTTTATTATTAATGCTAGTATACAACGAAAAAGTGAGCAAATTTAATATGCACAACGTTGGTTGTGTTTATTTTTCCCTAATTTGCTATTAATCTCCAGTTTGTTTGCTTTAGTAGGAGCGTTCGTTTAAAATCTCCAGTAAAAACCAACCAACTGCCAAATTTCGGCGAAATGTCATCTGTTCTCTCACAAGAGAAAAATATCCCAAATAGTACGCGAACAGAAAATTTGCAGAAACTTGCAAGTTAGACGAACAGCTGATATAATTTTTGTTTACATTCAAAAGTGTAAAATTTAAAACGAACGAAAAGTCATCACAAAGTGTTATACTGGCACAGTTTATTGATTAAACAAATAACTACTTATTTCTTACAAGTTTAATTAGTCGCATTTTGTAATTTTTAACTTCCAAACCATCAAATTCAATTTTGTAATTTGCGTAAATGCCAACCAGCTGTTTGTGATCAGCTGTTTTCCTGTTGGCAAATTGCTGTTGGCAAAATTTTTTCCAGCAGAAACCAGCAGCTTCCCCTCAAAATGAAATGTCACTTTGCTCTCTCAATTTCCCCTGCTTTGCAAGTTTTTTGCGTACGCGAACGCAAAAACTTGTAAGTTTTGGTTAAACATGAACAATTAACAGCTACGCGAACGCAACTAGTGTGTGCTGACCATGGTTGCCGTATGACATTTTTCGTTTGCACCATAATTTACCTTTAAATATACCAAAATTGATTCAAATGCAGCATGCTGAAATGTTGTTTTGCTGAAGTTTTCGGTTTTGGTAGGTTGATTGTTGAAATGAAAATTTTATAATTTTAAAGCTACATCTGTGCTATATCTATTACATTGTTTTTGGATCAATGATGGGTGTTTAGAGGAGATACTCTTGTTTTTGAATGCGTTACCATGTGATATCACAAATAATTATGAAAAAAATAACTTATTCATATAATTAATTTGTATTTTAAAAAGTTTTTTCTTATCGAAAATTATTCAATTGTATAAAATGCCAAATCGGGGGAAAATGTACCAAACAGAAAATAAATTGCCAAATTAATCAGCAGTGGCAACTGTGCAAGTGATCAGCTGTTACGAAGGTTGCAAGTTTTTGCAAATTTTGCGTTCTCGTACTTCTGTTGATATTTCGTCTCTTTGAGAGCGAATGCTGCTAAATTCTCAGAACTTTTGCTGCTGGAGAATTTTGTCCTCTCAATACGCGTACACACCTATTAACTGTAGTGTTTTTGTTGTAAATTTGTTGTGGAAAGTTAATAGCATGGTAACATATTGGATATCTCACTTCTATCGACTAGGTGTATGGTGTCAAGTTAGCACTACATACCATTTTTCCTTAAAAAATGAGAGCTACAATTTTTTTCTTTTCACAACGAATTTACAATAAAAACACTACAATTAATGCCGTAGTTAACTTTTCCAATTTCGAAAAGTGTGGTGCTAACTTGACACACGTACGTTTATTTCCTAAAGATATCCAATTGCAAATTTTGGTCCTGTTCAAATTAAGCAATTCAATCGCTTGTTTACCAATCACACATTCTGCAAGGAATCTTTGGAATATTTTAATGAATGCTGGTTGGGAAATTTGCAACAGCCGGTTGCAAGTAATAATTACATAATTTTCGATTGTACCAAATACATCAGTTTGTGTAATAATTATTCACTCTTAAGATCTGACACTTCTATCGAAGAATTATACAGTACCCACAAGACTCAAAGAATCATTGCAATTATTTATTAACTTTTTAAAGAAAGTTGGTGTTCATCTTTAATTTTTCATCTATTTTTGTAATGGCTTTATTACTTGTTAATAATAATAATAATAATAGATTGGCGCTTCTAAACTTTTTTGCGATGTTGCATTGACCAGGGCTTGAACCCAGGCCCTGCGGAATGGAAGCGCGCACTGCTTACCACTACACCAAAATAATTCTCCGACCTTGTCTAAGTTAAGGAGTAACTAAAAAAAAAAAAAAGTTTTGACTATATTGTTGAATTTAATACATATATTAATTTAATAACCTTTCCCTAAACATTTTGCCTGAATAAAAAATTACGTTTTGCAGTTACCAAATCGCCTGCAGCCGAAAGAAAAGATTTTGTTACACCAAAAATAACTATAACTCGCCCTGGCGAAGAAATAACGCCACTTCGGATAGTTCCCGAACATCGTTTAGAGAATGTGAAATATATATTGCAGTGTAGGATTTTGAAAAAACAGCAGTTGGCAGCTCAAGCGACCAAAGCTGTTCAACAAACAATCGCAACGACACCCTCAACGGCTTGCTTGTCAAACAATAAATTGCCGCTGTTGGAACCAAAAGTCGAAATCGATGAATTTCCAAGCACTTCCACAGCAGTCCTACTTAAAAAACCTTCTCCCGCCAAAACTCCACAGGACATTGCACGTGTACTTGACTTTAGTTCTGAGGCGACTACGGTCAGCTCGGCATCTGTCACAGCGACGGCTGCAATTGAAAACAAAGTCGAGAAAACTGAGACCACAAGCCCATTACATATAAAGAACTATGGCGTCTATGTACCCAAAGCATCACCAATAAAGGCGGCGGAATCCGAGGGTAGGCGTGCTGTTGACATCGCGCGTTTGGTAGCTCGCAACAGTACCGCAACAATGCGAAACGACCTGGAACAGCCAGTTTATGAAACTGTGAAGCCTATTGATATACCGAAAGCCAGTATAAGATGTAAAAATTTATTAATCGAACCAAAAGCTACACAAGGAAGTAGCGCTCAGTGCTCTAAAAAGAATGTGATAGACACGCAAAGGCTCCAAAAAGCAATGCCGAAGCTGTCTACAGGCCCAGCTTCTATTTCCAAAAATGCTGTTCCAAGAAAGCTCGTGAAATTTGTCTATACAAATCCGCGGAATCAGCAAACTAATAATCCAAACGATGCCTGCTCCACCGTGAATCCGAATGCTCAGAAACAAACCTCATTTGTACAACTTAAGGATCTTACGGGGTTTGCTCATTTAAAGCAACCTTTTCCGCAAGATTTGTCTTTACCACCTAATACTAAAATAAAACTCATCTACAAAAAACAGCCGGTTGCAGATGAACTCAATAAAAGTTTTTCCTCGGAGCCAAAAGAAAACAATAAAACTGCTAATGTGGAGACCAATACTCAGCCAAACAATGAACCTTCACAATTTAAGGACTTTCCTGCTTACTCTCCACTAAAGACACCATTTCCAGTTGTTACACACTCGCAAGATTTGCCATTGCCAACGATCTCAACATTCAGAACTCCTTTCCCAACAACCTTGATCAAAGTCGGTAAAATGGGACAGCCGCAGAGCGGTGGCATTATGTCACTCACGGCACAACACGCCACTACACCCGGCGAAGAAGATTCGCGACCCTCTCAATCTGCAAAAAGTTTGATTGTGCTCGAGAATAAAGTATTGGCGCCGGATGAAAAGATAGATTTGACGGCACTAGGATTGGAAACGCCCAAAATGGAACCAACGTCGGGTTTGCATGCACTAGACAGTCAAGAAAAACCCGCGCCATCTCATAATGTACAAGAAAATATTAAAGTTAGCCAGCCGCCAATTGCGTCAACCTCAGCGGTATCTATGAAAAATCTGCTGGCGGAAGGTGCAAAACTTAATAATCGCAAAATTTTGTCAATAGATAAACTTCAATTTTCAGCGGAGAAGGTAGCTGAGCTAGTCAAAATCATAAAAGCGCAAAATCTAAATTCAAAAAATGTTTTACTTGTACGTAACCTCGAAAATAAGCCAGAGACAAGTATGAAATCTAAAGGTTTAACAGTGATCAAACTCCAAACAAATTCAGTGGCTGAAAACCGAACACAACCTGTAACAACCATGCCGAATGAAAAACTCAGCCTGCCTTATAGACTCACTTCTATTCAAAGTCAAAACATTCGAGATGCATCAGTAGCGAAATCAACCACCGTACCTCTGCCGATTGAAAAGCCTGGGGTCAACACTTCTCGAACTCAAATCGAAAATAATTACGTAAACAAAATACCAACAGCCGATTCAGTATTACCCGTATTAAAATCTGAACCATTGACAGACCCAGAATCGCAATCTGACTCGGAAACCCAATTCAAAAATCCTTTGCCTCTAGTTTCGCATAAGTCTTACGCTACGGATCAATTTGGACGCATCAAATCCTCTGGCTCTGTGATTGACAGTGGCGACGAATCGGATGCGTCCATTTCTGCCGTGGATTTCATTGCTTCGCTGGCAGCTGAGCATCCCATTACTGAAGATACGCAATTGGAACTCTCACCGGAAGAGCTGAATTTGAATGCGTCATTCGCAATGAATTTCTCACCTTTGCGTATACCGAACAGGGATAGAACTGTGAGCATAAAAAGCGAAATTATGGAGCAAGATGCTTATGAGTTCAACGAGCCAAATGCTGATGTTTCAGCTGAGACATTTGACCCTGAAACGATGCCTGACGACGTTCAGATCGGCAAGATTATCACGATCAGTGAAGAAAACATTCTTAAAGCAGTAGCTGCTTCGCAAACTAGTGGCAACGCCGAAACGCAAGAGGTCTTCAAACTCACCAAAAGCACTGAATACCTGGACGCGAATAAAGAGGAAGTGAACTTAGCGGAAAACTTAGACAACTTGGATGTCGTCGACACTGACAACTTGGCTGAATCGAAAGTGGGACCTATATTAGTGAAAAATATAGAAGTTGGCGTCATAAACAACTTTGAAAACCAGCAAACGAGGCCATTGATTGTGAAAAATTTCGAAACAGACCGATCATCCTGTTTCGGCCAACTGAGTACAAATGAAGGAATTGTTGTTGAGAGCACTGCTTTGGAGACAGTCAAAGTTTTGCCCGTAGTCAGTGAAGCATCGGCTCAAAGTATAATCATTGCAAACAAAAGCAACTCAACTGATCAACAAGAGTCGACGCAAATTAGTAACACAGAAAATGCCGCACCAAAAATGGATCAAGCGGATCATTTAAAAGCTAGTGCCCCATTCAACGCTGACGAGAATACGGATTCCAACGAAAATTTGTTAGAAATTTCTAGCGCAGCACCAAAACGTTTACCGCGCTTAAAGAAGGGCAAAATTAATTTAGTTCAACGTAAGAAGACAACCGCATTATCACAGGAAACAAAAGCGGTATCCAAAAAGGCATCCGAAATTGTCGCGAATTCCGAGGACCAAGTGGAGGTTGAACACAACCAGGACGGCCAAGTAACTGTGCTAGAAGAAGGTAATAAAGGTATTGATAAGGTAATGGAAAACGATTTAAAGGCCACCAAAGTCAAGCTCAAAGTTGACGATGTGAAACAGAAATGGTTCTCCGAGTCGTCGCCATCAAAAGTAGAAGGAAACTCTGCTGTGCTCATAGAACCAATGGGAGATATTGAAGATAACGATAATAATTTATCTGATTACGCAGACGAGCAGTGGACCTGCGAAGCGTCGCCACTAAACGAGTGTGTCTCACCAACACCCCCTTCGAATGAATGGTTACCAAAATCAAGCGACTTGAAACGTAAAACCGCAGATATATCCGAGCTTTTAAATCCGCCTAAAATGCCTAAACGAAGATCTGCTGGTGCAGATGACAAACCCGCAGCTTCGTCTATTGTTTCGACTCCATCAGGTAAGAAAAATCTACTGCTGACCGCAGTTAAAGCAACTACCAAAGACACAGAGCTCACACCGGCCAAAAACCCTTTTAAAAAGGCAAAAGTAGAGGTCGATATTAGCGAGAAACCTATGAAGGGCATACAGAATCTTTTGACGAAATTCAGTAAAGATAAGAATGTGGTCGAGCAGAGAGAAGGCACAGATCAGATTATTAGTGAAAGCAAATCGAAGATAAGGGAAGCAAACGTTTCAGTGAAGGCTGCGGATGCTGGCAAATCACCTCAAAAACAGTCAGACGTAATGTCTGCGGCCAAAAATCAATTGAAGCCGTTGGTGAAAAATAAGGAAGAGTTAAAGCATAATGAAAAACCAGATTCCGGACAAGAACTACAAGAAGATGTTGTGCAAAAATCAGAGGAAATTGCTGAGAACAAGACTGATAATTTAAGCTGTTCACTGAAACAGGAGACACAATCGGACTCAAAACCTGTGGCAGATTCCAAGCAGAAACGTGAAACAACAAATCTAAATGTCTCGTTCGACAGCGAAAAAAACGAGACAATCAAAGTTAGTGTAGCATCTAACGACTGTGATAGTACGAATGTGATAGCAAATGAGCAGTTAGAGGTAAAAATTTCTGAAGATAATGAGGACGGAGCTGAGCAACCAAAATCTGGTTTCCTCGGATTTGACCATACCTCACCAAGTACGCATAACATTGAAAGCAATCTGCAACATATTCTCACGATTACCAATAGTGCTGAGCAAACGAAAACTCGCGATGAAAATTTCAGCACTGCAGAGCGCGAGAGTCCACACGCTATAAAAAGCGGAACCAAGTTTAGGCAGGCCCGAAAATCAACAAATCGACGCAGCGTACCGCTAAAGAAACGTTGGGGAGTTATGAGCGAATCCGACGATGATATTGATATTACCGATGATACAACGCCGGCTGACGATGAGGAGGATACTGACGAGACGACGACCCCGGCAGGTTTTCGAAGCCAAATCAAATCTAAAGGACCGAAAAGCTCTCAAAGTGGAAATGGGTTGCAAAGTGATACAGATGAATGTGAAATAGACGTATTTACGTTTTTGAAACCCAAGGGAAAACAAGTCGTCGTAAATGAATTAAAAGAGGAAAACAGTGGAGGGAAAATTGTGAAAATCGCTGAAAGTGAAAACACCATTGAGCAAGCAGCAGGATTAACCACGAATAAAAAGCGAACCAGAGTCGTAACGATTTCCGAAAGTACTAGCTCAAGCGATTTAGAAACACCACACAAAAGGATACGAATAGATGCAGAGTCAAATACTTCCGTTACTTCGAGAGCTGCGGAATCTGATAAAAAAGATAACAAATGTTCAACCCCTACAAAAGATGCAAAGCTGGCAGATTCGCCTAAGAAACCAGATGCAATCATTTTAGAAAAAAGCGATGCCGCTGAACCAACGAATACATCTTCTGAGATGAATACCAGATCGCATTCATTGGAGCTCGAAGTCCCACCAACTGTTAAAACTTGCAGGCCGGGTAGTCGTACCTCGGTAGATGACGCAGAAAATACACAAGACTCGACTAAAAAGCCCAAAGCTAAGCGAGTACGCAAACCCAAAGTTACAATCGAGTTGAATGATTCAGCTGAAATACAATTGAAAACACCAGATGCTCATGTTGATCAGAATGAAAACGAAGGTGGGAACATCTCGACCATAAATGAAACAGAAAATGACAGTCATCAAACAGTAAGTGCGAAGGAAATAGGCAACGACAATTCGAAAGCGCGAGAAAATCGTACAAAGAAGATCGAAGCAAAGGAAACTAAAATCGATACTGATCAGCCTAAAGCTGTGAAAAAACGTGGGAGAAAGCCAAAAGTAGTCATCATCGATGCCCCACAATCGGGCACTACCAGTCCGAGTACGGAAATTAAATCAAATGAAATGAAAAAGGCTACTGGGCGTCATTCAAAAGGATATGAATTGAGTACATCCATTGTGGCAGTTACAGTCAAGGAGGAATTCGTCAGTGCTGACGCTGAGCTTGTTGTGCCATCGTTAACCGAATTGGAAGCTTTTCAAGAAGGGCTGAAGAACAGCGAAGACTCCACGCTCAGAGAAAGCGTAAAAATCGCGTCTGAGTTCGCAACCTCAACGGCTACGGCGGTCGCAGAGTCGGCAGCAGATAACATTAAGCAAGCGGGGAAAAAGAGCAAGTCTCTAGGAGAAATAGTTGTGAGTTTAGCCAAAAATCAAGCGGAGAATGAGGACACAAAAAGGGATGAGAGTACGCCAATAGTGCGTAAGAAGCGCGGACGCAAACCAAAGTCACTTAATGCCACTCTGCCCAGTACGACTGAGTCCACGGCGTGTAATAGTATTGCGGAGTTGAAGAATACAAGCGTGTTGAATGACACGCAGTCAGAGTTGAGCATAAATTCAACTGCAGCTGTTGATTCGTCGGCAAATTTGAGCCAATCGGCTGCCGACTTCGAAACGCCTATAAAAGTTCCGAAAAAACGGGGACGCAAACCAAAAGTCATTACGGCCACAGCTGAGGCGTTAACCGGCGAAGAGGCTGCAAAGCCCGTGCCTAGAAAAGCAAGGGGAGTAGTAGATCTTGAGACGCGCGGCACCTTCAATGAGCGTCTATTGTTAATTACAAAACGTGAACAACTCGAGTCAGACGAAGTGCTCACTGCCGAGCCGGTGGCGAGTACATCAAAAACAACGAACATAGCTTGTGGACTCTGTTTGCAGCAAATGGATCGTGACGCTTGGTTGGATCATTTGGCGACACATTATGGTGTCGGTTGGATAGTGGGCGAAACGACACCAACTGTGAGTGCAGAAGGGGGAGAATATCTCACCGATAAGTTTCGAAAATGTTTTCTAAATTCTTTTGTGTGTTTTCAGAATGTGACTATACGTAATGAAGTGCTAAAGGCTATGACAGCGTTCCTGAAAACCAACGGCGGTAAATACACACTGACTTGTCGTATGTGCCACCGCACTTTTCGTTCGGCTTTGGGTGCCTTGCTGCACATCGAACTTTGTGGCGCAACGGATTCGCGTGTACCATGCGATTACTGTAAGCGGCAGTACTCGAAACTAAGCCTACTGGTTCATATGCGGGAATGCAGAGTACGTTTTATGAATACAACTGAAGAAGGGGGTACAGGTGGAGCAGATGCGACGGATGTAAAGGAAGCAGTTTTCAATAATGTTGGCCGGAAGAAACGCGCATCGGTGCAAAAGTAAGAATGACATTTAATTTCGACATTAGATACATGTCTTTATATACCTTTCATGAGCGTAAAATGGTATTATAAATCTGGTTTGTAAGGACCAGAATAAGAAGAGATAAACCCACGAAAATGTATACTTATATATATAATCAGAAAGTTGAGCTGAGCCGATTTAAAAATGCCCGTCTGTCCGTCTGTTTGTATGCGATCTGGTCCCTCAGTTTTCGAGATATCGGACTGAAATTTTGCAAGTGAAAATGACAAACATATAGCGCCCGTGCAACTGATTGTTCAGATGTGAGATTTATGCAGCTAGGAAAATCACTTAGATTGGTTCTTCATAAGGTATATCTTCCATACGTCTGATTGTTAAGATATGATTCTTTTATATATGTAATTCTGTCTATGTATGCTGTGAATATTCATGAAAGGTATTAAGGCTTCGGCATAGCCGAAGACAGCACTGCTTGTTTAATATAAAAAAAAATATATAAAAAGAAACACACACACACACTTTTTAAATGTAAGTTCCCTCTGATTAAACAAAATAACTAACTAATAAACGAAAACCTTATGTTCCTTGCACTTGAAAAAAAGAGCAGAAAAAATCTTGAAAGCCATAGGCATTGATGCTCGCGGCGCTGGGATATCCACCGTGAAAGATGCTAAAAACGTTAGTAGCCACTTTTGTTCTAAATATGGAATGTATTATCTTCTAACATCCATATCTCAACTACTCACAGTATATTCAGCTTGTTCCTGCGCAGCCTGATCAGATTGAAAGAAAATGGTCAGGTGACTTAGAGTCGACAGGCAAAGCCCATTGCCCCACACCGGATTGCACTTTCGAGACACAAGAACTAACCGCACTTCAAACGCACTACAAGTGCTGTGAACTCAAGGAAGTATCCAATGTGCAGGGATTTTATATTTGTCGACTTTGTGCGAGTTTCGCCAAAACATACAACAGCGCTAAGGACGCCATTAAGCATGTTTTGCAAGAACATAGAAATGCAGAAGATGCGCCAGATTTCGAGGGAGACGTTTCGGATTGTGGCATTAAAACGGATGACGAATCGAGCGGTGCTGATGATGACATATCGTCGGGTGTCGACTCGAATGAAGAAAGTGGGAGCGGTACTAGTAATATAAGTTTTATTGAAGATCAAAAAGCACGAAAAAATGCGCGGAGGAGGAGATCGCGAAAGAAGAAATCAGCAAATACGACAAATACGATCGATAGACGTGAGTAATAGCGGAATTTCAAAATATAAATAATTGTAAAAGTAAGTCAATAACTTTATTTTTATTTAGAAATTACCCCACGTGATCTTGATTATAGTAACACCGCAGTAAAATTATGGAATGAATTGTAAGTGAAAATAATAATTGCATTCTGTTGGTTGTTACATTCATTTGTTTTAAATTTTACTTAGCACAACGGAACATTATAGCACACAACCACTGTATAACGACTTCAAAGTCAACTATAGCATTTGCGCACGCGCAGATTACGAACAATATTTTCCGCGTACAGAATGTTCTATGAAATTTAGTCTGAATTCAAAATTTGAGCTCACCAAAATCGATGCTGAAACGCAATTTGGCAAAGCCGAGAACGTGAATTGGTCACAACTACAACGTTTCGAGATGAGCTCGGCCAATGGTACGTTATCTCATATTGTAGTATGTATGTATATCAATCAACTTACTTATATCCCTACCTCTTCTTAGATGAGCACTTCATTTTCATTGGCGAAGCTATCAAAATTGTCAGCTGGGTGCCGCTGCCTGCGGACATACACGAACAATACCTACTTATTAGCTCACGCCGTGAATATACTCGCTACAAGAATCCAAAAATCGGTAATACATTACTTTGGTTGTACAAAATCACACCCGCTAATGGTCTAGAGCCACTGCGTATGCAGCTTCACTACGCTATTAATATACCTGATGGACCCGTACATTGCACGGCATTTTTACCCAGCGGCGGCTATGATGCGAGCGCAAATCGACTAGGATTGGTGGCTGTTGGCACGGCAGCCTCATGTACAATTAAAGTTTATGCATTGCCTTTGGATGCGAGTGTGGAAAAACCAATGGAGATCGATGTGCCATCCCTTACGGGACAAGCTGAGCATTTACTTCCCGATTTAATAATAGTGCAATTACAGCCAGTTTTGCAGTTGATATTAGACGTATCTGAAGAACCCGAAATGAGGGCACATCGGCTTGTGAATACGCAATGTACGGCGCTATGTTGGTCGGAGGTGAGCGCATATGCAATAAAAAAAAAAAAAATCTGTCAATTAATTTTTTTTGTTACCAGTTTTCCGGGCATAAACACATTTTTGCAGGCTTCGCAAATGGTTGTGCTGGCTATTGGGATATCAGTACGGATGACAATTTGAATCTCCTTATTATCAATGGTCTGACAAATTACTTGCCAATGAATTTCTTCTATGCGCGCGAGAAGAATGTGCATGGTATTGCGTTTTCAACTCCAATGTGGAAGTGTTCGTATAAAAATGTATTCTTGTTACAGCAATGGCGTTACATTATGACACCTCAGGCGTGCGTCTGCTTGCGCTCACTGTTGGTAGGCGTATTTTGTCTATCTATGACTTGCACCAGTTTACTCGCCCAATTCTGATGAAAGAAGAAGTAGCAAGAAACGAGGTGATGGACTTGGCGTGGTCCCCACTTTGGCAATCTTTGGCTGTTGCCGTTTCTGATTCCTTGGGCACAAGTGGGTAGCCGAGAAACTACTACATAATACTTATAATTAAGTCTTTTACTCAGTAGGTCAGTGCACGTACGCTGTTAGTCCTACGAATATGAATTTTAAAAATGAAACAATTGATAGAGCGTGTGGTGCAGTTACACAGATTCATTACAATCCCTGGCAGCATATATACGCCTATGCTACCGATAATGGCGATCTAGCGCTGCTGAATATACGCGAAATGCATTTTAAAGAGATTTTGCGAGATTCACTACAAAATACGAGAGCTGCAGCTATAATGGATATGAAATGCTTGAATGGGGAGGATATACCTAAGTTTGATCCGAAATCAGTGTCGGCAGATTGGAAATTTTTCGAAGAGGGATGTGTAGAGAAATATGGGCTTGTGTTTGGGCCGATGACGAAGGTTTGTTGCAGAGAAAATATTTTGAATGGTGAAAATGCTTTACTGAATAATAATTTTTCTTTGTTTCCAAAAACAGATTGATAGAAAACACAAACCGCAATATGTGAGCGCGAAACGTCGACCACCGGTGAATTTGATACGTTGCACGCGCATAAATAGCATGCGTTGCAACTTAAATGTAGGAGGGAAGAAATTGATTGCGCTTGGCTATGAGAATGGTTTGCTGCGCATACTCAACATCGATCGAAAATCTGTTTTCGATTAAAATCGTTTAGGTTTTGGTACCAAGGACGTTGAAGGTGGCAGTAGAGAGTAAAATATGAAACGGATATTGGAGATAAACAAAATGCAGCAATGAAATTAATAAAGTTGTAGTGGTAAATAGGTTTCATGCATGTACATATAAAGATAATATATATAAATTTTTACATAATTTTAAGCTATTTTTAGTAACTTACAGCTGAAAAGTAATTCTTACAGATAATGTAGGAACGTGAAGATTTTTGGGCAGAGATAATTAGGGGATTCACAAGACGTGTTAACCGTCGTAAAATCTTAAGCTTAACACTTGTTTATGTAAAATAGCGGTTAAAATGGTTGGGGGGTTGGCTAATTATATATTCTTTATCAGTTTAAAAGAATTTCGGTTTAGTTAGAAATCCCCTAAAACCATTTTAATTAAAAAAGATGTTAACCTTAAGATTTTACGACGGTTAACACGTCTTGTGAATCCCCTAATTGACATTACTAGTATAGTATCATATTCATACGTACACACATATGTATATCTGTATATATAAAAATACATAACCCATAAAAATACGAACATGTATGCATATGAAATATATACATAGTACTAATATGCTATTTGATTTATATTGTTGAAATCAAGATTTTCTTTGTACATAAAATTAGTAATTTATATCCTGAATACTTAATACATTGTAAAATTTAGTTTTTCTATTTACCTTTGCTTTGCTAATGTTTGATAACGAAAATATTAATGTTTTATAAATACATACTAAATACAAAATAATTAAAAAATTGAAATATGTAAATACATACACAATTTTGAAAATGAAAAATAAAGAATACGAAACAGCTTAATTTCATTTCCCTAATAATGCTTCTCATTACTCAGCAGTAGAAGCTTCAGTCGGCGCCACTTGGGGAGTTTTTTCTTCTGCACTTAGGGGCGGTGTTGCTTCTGTTGATACTTGATCAGAGCCAACTGCTTCACCGCTACCACTTGTTTCTGCTCCGGGTGGTACAGCAGCCTCGTTTGCTGGCGCACCTTCAGTTGGCGCTTCGGCAGCAGTTGTTCCACCACCTTCCACGACTGTCGGTTGCTCGCTCGCTTCAGCTGCGCCACCTTCCAATGCCGACTCATCTTCTGCACTCTCTTCTCGCGCAGTTGGGGGGCGACTTTCGCCACTATCCTCACCGCTTGTAGTAGTGACCGGTTCTGCTGCTTCGCCCTTCGTACGAGACTGCAATGATGAAAAAGTTTATATTTTAACATTTAGAATTTGGCTTATGCGAATCTAAGCGAAGGCAAGCGCCGCTTGGCCAACTTACCTTCTTCTTTTTCGGTTTTGCTTCTTTTTCTGCTTGTTCAAGTGCCTCTTGCTCAGCGGTCTTGTAGGATTCTGGGAAGAATTTAAGCGCCTCTTCGTACCCAATAACCGCATCCGCACTGACATAGCTTGGACCGTAGGTTGCCAACGAGAGCATTGTGTGTGAGGTTTGCTTGTTAACTTTGAACACAATTTTGTCCGTGCTAGGTGGGGGGAAAAATAGATGTTATCATCCAGCTTTGTACTAGTTGTAACAGCTTTTCACTGTTAAGTGTCATGAAAAACATTCTTTCTTTTCTTAACCTCTTAATTGTAACACACTCTTCCCTCTACCCACAAAATCTACTTACGGATTCTGTGGCATCGTTGCATATTTCGCCGCCGAGTTCGCAATCAATTTCGCTTCGCCCGCTTCGTCATTGCTGAAGAAGCCATAACGCGGCACATCGTCTTTCAAGCGCTCCGCTACGCTCAACAAATCACGTTTCTTATAAGCGTCAAATGCCATTATAATATGTGGCGGCTCTGGTATCGGATCAGGTGGAAGGAAACCTGTTGTTTGTTGGCGGAAAAATACATAAATGAGCGCGGCATGAGTGCGCGCATTGCCCGCCACCCAGATGGGAGGTATCCGTATGACTTTCTTACGGTAGCGTTTCTGGACGACAACTTCAACTACTTGCTCTGCTTTCTGCTCTTCCTCGCGCTCTTTATCATCGTCTAAATCAAAATCTAGATCTAACGCATTCATTGGTAAGTCAGGTAAATCTGGTATTTCTGGTCCCTCGTCCGCTTCTCCGACTTCACCAACTTCATCGGCGTTCTCACTGCCTTCTTCGCCTTCGTTATCCTCGCCCTCGGCCGTCTCGGCAGTAGCTGCTTGGGCTGCGGATTCCTCGTTCTTTATATGCAACTTTTTTGGCACAGGTTCCGGTTCTGGTTCTGGTTCCTCTTCCCATTCTTCACCCTCTGCAAAAAAAACCGAGAGTTCTACTTTTTGTGTTATCCTAGAGCCGAAAACTTACCCTCTAACTCGATTTCGATTGTCAGATCCATAGGCAATAGAACAGGTGGATGCACTATCTCCTCCTCGGTCAGCATGTCCACTTCATGTCGCTCCTTCGTCAGCATGTGCGCGTACGTATTCAAAACTTCAGGTATGGGACGACGATCATCTTCTGGCATTTTCCAAAAGCACATCATCAAATCCTTTTGATCTAATTGGTCGAGTACATCATCGGGCAAGGGATTCGGGCATGCATAGTTCACCACATCAAAGTCGGCGCGAGTAACACTAATGACGCGTCGATCTTTGCACTGCAACTTCATATTGTCCGCCGGTTCGAGTACCTTCTTGTACATATCGCGATTAATATGTGGTCCGAAGATGGTCACACCCATATCGGGCATATTTTCGATTATGGTATCTGTCATGGAGTTCAAATAGTCGTGACGCTTTTTCTTTTTCGCTGCCTTCTCTTTGCTAATCGCCTCCATTTCGGCATCCTGTTTGATTTTGCGACGTATTACTTCCTCTGGCTGGAGCTCGGTGATCTCGTAGAAGGTGCGTTGTGGTTTGTTGAGCATTTCCAGCTCTTGGGCGATAAGTTTCATAAGTTTCGGCGTGTTGGATCCGAATAGTAGATTTGTAGATTTGCCTTTCTGTACGATGTGATGAGGATAGGAAGTTTCTTTAAATTTTTTCGAATGCTAATAATTCTTTTAGTGGCAATAATACAAATTTTAGTAGGAAGTTCCAAGCTCAAATTTCTAACTGAGGTCATTCCCGGTTTTAGAGGAGGATGACCCAATTTTCAAGATTTTTGATTCGACTTAAATCAAGTGATTTGCTGAAGAAGGAAGTTATTCGACCCCTAACCGCCAAGAAAACGTGATTTTTTTCCTCCAAATTTTAGTTTTGATGTAGAAATGCACGCTTCATTCAACTGCACGACTTGTTCGCACGAACACAGTGTCATCAATTGCACGCACACTACAAAAATGCTATGCCGAAGCTGCCCACCTCTGATCTACACCTTTTCCAAGAGTACTTCAGAAAGCATCAAATGTACTTCAGAATAGACAGATGTACTTCAGAAACAGTAAAATGTACTTCAGGATAGTCAATTATACTTCAGAAACCGTAAAAAGTATTTCAGAAACTGTAAAGTTTTCTTCAGAATAGTCAATTGTACTTCAGAAACTGTAAAAAGTATTTCAGAATAGTCAATTGTACTTCAGAAACCGTAAAATGTACTTCAGAATAGTCAATTGTACTTCAGAAACCGTAAATTGTACTTCAGAAACCGTAAAGTTTACTTCAGAAGACGAAAGTTACTACATACGTATTGTAATTATTTAAATGGTATATAAAATAGTATATTTAAATATGTTAATTTTTTTTGTCAGTGGATCCATACAGTGCTACAGAAGTGGGTTGACTTGGGTAACAACCTCGGGGATCTGGTTGTTGTATGCGATAACGCTCCGTGCCACTCCCACTTAGAAAGTGCAATCAACAACTTTAACGCGACAGACAAAGCAACGCTCCTACGTCTTGGACCATATTCGAAAATGTTGAATCCAGTTGAGAATATTTGGTCTAAAATTAAAACGTATGTTAAGACAAATATTGGCATTCCAGCTACATTTGGTCCGGGCGTTGTCGAGCAAAGGCTCTCGTACTTGGAGCAACTTATTGACGAGGCAAAAGCGACAGTTGTTGGTGGAGATTGTGGCAGAGCCATTCAACATTCTACCACTTTTCACCCAGATGCACTATCTTTATTCGATATGCCAGCTGGTACATAATTTAAAACTGCATTAATAAATTAATTGTTTCATTCTTAAATGTATAGACATTGCGAACAAACTAATTTACTTGTAATTTGAAAAATATATTAAAAAGTAAATATATTTAAAATCACTATAATATATATACTATTTAAATAATTACAATGTGTACGAATTTTCGTCTTCTGAAGTACATTTTACGATTTCTGAAGTACAATTTACGGTTTCTGAAGTACAATTGACTATCCTGAAGTACATTTTACGTTTTCTGAAGTACAATTTACTATTCTGAAGTACATTTTACGGTTTCCTAAGTACAATTGACTATTCTGAAGAACATTTTACGGTTTCTGAAGCACAATTGACTATTCTGAAGTACAGTGGACTGTTCTGAAATACATTTTACGGTTTCTGAAGTACAATTGACCATTCTGAAGTACATTTTACGTTTCCTGAAGTACAATTGACTATTCTGAAGTACATTTTACAGTTTCTGAAATACATTTGACGCTTTCTGAAGTACTCTTGGAGAAGGTGTAGATGCTTTTATCGCAAAATGCTTATGTTTTTTAGGCGCTTGGGGGTCGATATGTATAATACCTGCGTCATTACGTTGAATGGACTCTAATAGCCTATTTCCTAATGGAGTTTTTTAATTGGTACACATTTTTTTGGTTATTATCATTCCAAAAGCTGGTGGAAACTCAGCATTACGCTTTTTATTTAAACTTACAGTAACAAACATCCATGTGGGCTCACTTTTCTTGCAGAAACGTTTCAGGTAAGAGATCGTATCCGATTTACACTTTTATGAAAATTTTTTATAAATATTTGAATTATTATCATAATTTTGTATGCAATAAATTTTTTCTACTCAACACTTACAATAGCAAGCTGCAAATTATCGCCACCGATTTCCAATTTTATTTTACGTAAACTGCCTACCATGCCGAGGCAGGGACCACACCATTCCGAGTAGATATCCAACACTACACGAAAAATCACAATCACAATGAATATAGCAACAAGATTGAAAAATGTTCAGCCTTCAGCCGATCAATTCATACCCAATAAACCGGGACGCTCGAGGAATTTCTCGAAATCCTCATCGGTTTGTATGTCGGCCTGCAGCTGTTGTACACCTCCTTTCTTTGCCATTTCGCTTTGCTATTATACCAATGATTTCGTTTAGTTTTTCAATTTTTTTTTGTTACAACTGCAAATTTAGTTATTTTGGTCGCGAATCCTAAGCGTTTTTTTTTGATTGTTGGAATTTAAATTTGCGAAAGGAATTTTGCAATTTCAACCGTAAACGTATGAATTTAACATTGGGGCCGGGGTGTTTTTAATTTCCTTTTTTTTAATTTTGATTTTTTCTTTTTGAGTTAAGCTGCCATTTATAGATTTTGACGTTTATTGGACTATTTTTCTTCGCTGGCTGGCTTCCTACCTAAATTAAAAGTCTATTTTGCGGGTTTTCCTTACCTCTTAGCTATTATCGATTAAATATTTGTGTTGCTAGCCAAATATACATACATACATATATGTAAAATCGAATGTACATTTCTACATACTACAGTCCACACGTTTATGAGTAATTTCTACAATTGTAATAACTTTAAAGTAAGTTTTATTTTAAGCCTAATATNTAATACTTTTCGTGTAAAATCCTGTAAAAATGTCAAACAGCAAAATTACTAGCTCTGATCCGGTACTTCATGAACTTACAGGATTTTACACGAATTTGCAGAATGTTACAGGAAAAATGATCACGTACTCCAAAATCCAGTAAATGAGAGCGATTTTTGAGAGTTGTGTAGAGAATGAAGTTGCAAGCAGTGATCGGACTCTAAAAAAAGTTCTGTGTGGTACAATTTGCGTTGCGGTTGTGAAAATTGCGTTGAGTTTTAGCAATTTTTTTTCCTTGACAGTGTAAAGCAAAAGATGGAAACATTATTGACTAACCCTGATGAGCTCTTTGGCATTGAAATCAGTATTCGTAATTTCATAATCGGCTCGGTGGTAGCCCGATGTTGTGATAGCCCGATGTTTTAGCCTGAAAGCTAGTAGGCTCCCATGTATACTGGCAGATGAAATTGTTCGCTACGGGTCATATTGGGTAAATAAGTGGCAATGTCTAGCACAAAGTGTGAACTCGTCCCCACTAACTGTTTTTTCCACCACAGCTCTTAACGATTATATCCCTAAATTCCCTGATAAACTACTAGAAAAATAATTCAGTATTTATCTTGCCAGTGCGCTGAAATCGACATCCCATGGTTAGCCAGGGTTCTTGTACTAGGGCCACGTCCACACGTGCACCACTTTTGGGCTTTTAGGATTCACCTGTGCGACGCACGATCTGCAGGGATTGTGAACCGATCTTCATCCACAGGTCCTTGCCGTTACCATTGTCGCAAGCGCGGCGTCGGCCTAGTCGTCAGGGATGACGACGTTTTAACATTTTATTAGTGCTAGTTGGGGTGGGATCCACACTCTCACTGTCGTACGGGATAGCACCTCTGGGAGTGGAACAGCTTCCAGTCTTCCGTTGACCCAAAGTGCGTCTTGGTTGCGGACGCAATTTTTTAGGAAGTCCNATGTATTTTCTTTAACTGCATCTACACACCAGGCTATACTTAGTAAATTTGTGCCATAATTAGAAAAATTCTCCAAAATTTATCAAATTTTCAAAAAACTTTCAAACTTTTCAATAATAAAAAAAAAATATCTCCCAATGAGATTCGAACTCCGCTGCCCCAGACCTGCTAAACGAGTACACGTCCACTATGCCAACGCAGCATAAAAGATTTTGTTGCTTAAGTGCTTACACATTGTATGTGGTATACATATGAATAATCTCTCGGCAACAAAAATATCTGTACGAGATTTTGGCCAGTTTTGGCTATTTTGCTTTTGCTTATTTAATTTTCTATAAAAGTCTAGCTCATTATATAGCAAGCGCCGAATAAATCCTCATTTCAAACTTTGTAAAATAAATTTGAAAAAATTTCAAATTTTCAACAAAATTTAAAACTTTAATCTCAATTTTCAGAAAAATGTGTGGTATGCAGTCCTATAGCCCATAAAATCTTAGCATAATAAAAGGAAAGTTTGAATTCGCGTTAGTTGTTATTTTATTTTTTTGCTAATGGTTCTCCGCAAATTCTATAAAGTATGCTTAACTTTTTTTTTTACATGGAAAAAAATGCGTAGCACCGTCGCCAAAAAAAAAGATTATAATTCTTATATTGCTGCTGCAAACTTACACTTTATTATACTAAAGTTTAATCGGTTATAATACTGCATAACAAAAATAAAAAAAAAAAATAAAAAATATTTTGTTGAAAATTTATTAATTTTTTAATTTTTTTCAAGTTTGAAATATGGATTTATATTATGTTTGTTATATGAGCTAGACTTTTATAAAACATTAATAAACAAAATAAAAATATTCAAAACTGGTCAAAATCTCGCACACATATTTTTTGTCTATGAGTGTATATACGACGTGTAAGCACTTAAGCAACGAAGTTCTTTATGCTGCTTTGGCACAGTGCAGGTGTACTCGCCTAGCAAGTCTGAGCGCCGGAGTTCGAATCTCATTGGTAGATGTTTTTTTTTTTAATATTTTTGTTTTCAAATGACGTCTAACTTTTTTAACACGTGTTCGCAACTAGTCTTATTTATAGGAAAATCATTTATATTATCTATATTATATTATATTAGGGATTTGTTTAAAACATGCAAATTTTTAATTTTTAAAATTTACTTACTGTCTACAATGTAAAATGAAAACAACGTTAAAAACAATTTTTTGCAATGTTCAAACAACCCCTTCCTTTATATAAAAATCTTTAACCGCTTCTAGCGAGATTCGAACCTGTGTTTCAAAGCATACCCCTACCCCTCATTGCAGCATCTCACCATCCGCTTAACAAAGTTAACACCTCAACTACTACCGACTAATGACGTCACCCGCCAAAAGTGAAGCAAGTGTATTTTATGCTACTTTTGCTCATTGAAAAATGTGAGCGTGTGTATGTATGTAAGTATGTACCCTGCAGGGAAAGCTACCAGTTGTAAACTAGAATGCTACCAGTTTGCGTTTCAGCCTAACTAGCGTGAAGTTGCATACTTTTTCAGTGTTAGCGACTGGTATTTTTAACATGGCGATGTCATATAGAAGATGTAAATTTTTCGCTCCTGCATCAGTTCCATACCAATTAAATACCAGTTCGCTACGATAAAAAAATTATAGTCCATTTTTAGTCTGAAATCACCACTTTTAGACGATTGGATTAACAGAAAAAAATAAAAAATAAAAAAGAGCAAAGAAATTTTTTTTTTAAATTCATTTAATTCATTTATTTCATCGTTTTTAGCATTTATTTGAAATGTTTCTTATCGACGTAGAATACGTCTTATATTACGTTCAAATTGGCCCCATTTTACTTGTAGAATGAAAAAGAGCTATTTGGAAAACACAATCGTCCACATTGAACATTTGGAGTTAAATTTTACGGTTGTTTGATTACCAATAAAAATTCTAAAAAAAAAAATTTTGTGTTTCAATTTGTTTTGTGTGAATGTCTGCTTCATGATATTAACGCATACGGATTACTTAGGCCCACTTGCAGAACATCCAGAGTTAAATATATAAATAGAGAGATAAGAAGCTCAGAGTTAAATTGTTATATTCCTAAACCAGACATTGTCTTGCAGCATTGAAAACTGGCCCAGAGTTAAGTAACCCGAGGGATTTTTAAATTAAGTAGGCACCATTCTCCCTTTTTTGACGTTTATTTCCATTTCTTATAAGGATTTGAATATAGAATTTCAAACACTTCCATACATACATACATACCCAACAAGCATTTCAGTAAATGTTTTTAAAAATAACAAAGTAAGTTTGCTATAATAAGCGTTAAATAAGCATTTTTAATAGCCGTCATCGATTCGCCATCAGTTAGCAAGTGGCAAAACGAACGAACTCAATGAGGTACAACCAAACTTGCTATCGTCTATCCGTGCTAGCTAACTTTGTTGTTGCTTTCACATGCAAAATTTTTCGTTAAGCGACCGGAACTCAAACATAGCAAGCAGCGAAGTGGCGAATCGATGACGGCTAATATTAAGCTTATTAAAAGTTTTTTCAAATAAACCTTTAATAAGTTTTGAGAGCGAATGTTTATAAATAACTTAAACTTATAAATGAAATGCAAATGCCAACGACATGAAGTAGTAAATATAACACTTTTTCAATCGTAAGTGACGTGTTTACGTTTTTTAAAATATATTATTAAAAGAAAAAATTAAATAAAACCGATGCGGTAAAAAAAATCCAATCCAGGACCCGCTGCGCTAATCGGTGGAGCATTCGAGTCTTCAAATGATGAGTTCTCCTTATCCTTTCTTAGTTTAACATTCAACTAAAAATGTATTAAATTTTTTTCAGAAAAGTTCATTAATGAGAATGGCGGCGATGAAGCGGAATATATAGCTGCATCGATGTCGTTTTTCCAATTTTCCAATAACCGCATGTAATTGAAAGCACGCAACAAGATGTAATAATTAACTTTTTTATGCTTAATTTTATATCATGAATTTGTATGCTGAAATATCTATTCCCTATTTATATTTTCGCGACTGTAGATGAGTCCGCCGAAAATTCGCATTTCTTTTAGTTTCTAGATGTTAAGCAATCTATGTATGAGTTTTTAATGAAATATCTTTAAATAAAGCGTTATAAAAATGTTTATAAAAAGCTTTCTTTTGAAAATTTTTTGTAAGTTTATATTCATACGCTTATAAACAACTTTTTTTGAACCTTTATTATAAGTTTACACTTTTACGCTTATAAAAAGCTTTCTTTTGAAAATTTATTACAAGTTTATATTTCTACGCTTATAACCAATGTTCCTTTTCGATTATATTACGCTTACTTTCAAGCGTTTTATAAACAAAAAATCAACGTTTTGTAAGCTTAATGTTTATAATTGAAAACTTAAAAAAAGCTTTCTTTAAGTTTATTTTGCTTGTTGGGTACATAAATAGGTACAAATTGTAAATTGGCCAGCGGCACTTCCGAGAGTTCTCTTAATTGGATGGACTACTAACACGGTTGGTGCATTTTAATCGCATATATTTTTTACGCC